TGCATGTGGAGGTTTTCTCATCCTTCTCACACTGATGTTCCTGAGCATCCAGCCCTCAGCAGCCAGCAGGCTCTGCTGTGGGTGCCCATCCCACCTATGTGTGGCTGTTAGAAAACTGTTTCAGTGGGTTACTGAATGGGCGTCATCGAAACCCACCACTCAGGATATTATTGATATTTTTATCCATCACTGAATTTAAAGCTGGCAACTCACTCTATCCCTTTTGTTCTCTCACCAGGGTAACTATAAATAGAATTGAGACTGACAAGAACTGTGCTGTTTACAGAAGAAAAAACATGATCCAAGCAGATGACTGCCAAACTTTGAAGAAGTGGATCTGTAAGAAGAATGCAACTTTATTGGTGCTCTGAGCCAAATTGTCAGACAACAGGCAGAGTTTTTGTCAGAAGACCCATTTGACTGATAAAACAGCATGTGATGTAAATAATCTTATGAGACTTGCACATAAATTTGCATTTTGCTGTTCCGTACTCACTAAGACTTTGATGCAAACAGGGAACTCAGCAATTACCAAGTGGTGATGTGAAGGTCACACAGCAGGACTGCAAGTCAGCACGTGTGGATTTGGGGGTGCTGAGCCTTCCCAGAGACGGATGTTGGCAGCAGCTTCCTCTAGGAGAGGGCAGGGGAGAAGAGGTACTCTTGTGAGGATGAGCACTGTGCACTCGAACTGTGTGATGTGCAGGCAAGATGCCATCTGGGGGGGGTTGAAGAGTGTGCTGGGGCCCACTGCTGTCACACATATCCTTCAGGCAGCTGCTGCGGAGTTGAGGCACCTTTTATTTGTGTTTCAGTATTTTAATGTTTGCTGAAGTTTGTGTTTGTTTTTTTTTTTTTTTTCCTTACAGTCTAATTGCAACTTAGAGAAGCCACTTGAGGGCCGGGAAAAATGCATTTATTAGACAGTGTCTTGTACTTATTCAGAGCTGACCTGCACAGCTACTGAGAATACAGATATCAAACCAAGCATGAAGTGACTCCCAACAGTTGTGGTTAATAAGCTGATGGCTCCCACCTCCTTCGGATGCTGAACCTTGGGGTCTGAAGGAAAGCTCTTGACTAGGGAAGGGGCTTGGGCCATAAGACAACATTGAAGTGCAAAGAAATGAACAGGATAGCCTGCTTTTCCACCCTTTACATTGCAAATTCTTTAATGTGGAATCATAGTTACTGCCTGGAAGGGATGATCATGAGGTATTGAGGCTAAAGCCTGGTGAAATTAATGCCTGTGGGTGCACTCAGTAAATGCATTACTTGGGTATTCAAGTGTCATGGATACATGCCATTTCCGGATCAAAAATGAGAAGAGCAGTCTGACTTAGCGCCTTTATTAGGTTCATATATTTGAAAAAATAAATGAACAAATCTCATTAATTGCTTTTTAAGAAATCAGACACATCATTTGTTTCAGCTTTTTAAAAAACAGTCTAATAGTGGTAATAACCCCTCTAAATCTGTAGCTAGCATGTGTCTTTGAAAACAGTGACCAAATGCAAGGCAAGTGTTTGCATCATTGCTATTTCCGGTGATTTATGTTGCAACAGTAAAGGAAATCAAGTAATGTGTAAACAGGGAAATGAAAAAAATAACATAAGGGACAAGTGGAGATGTAATAATGTTTGCAAATCACATACCTCCTCTTGGGTATTTCCAGAGCCCTGAGTGCTCTAACATGCCTTAAGGATTCTCACCAGCCTCTCCTCCTGAGACTCTCTCAGTCTTCAGGCTCTGCTTGAGTTCTGTCCAAGACATACCTGCCTCCAGCCCTGTCCCACCTCCTGGATCGGACAGCTGAGTCCTACCTACATGGCAGGTTGGACAATTCAACTGATAACTGAACCAATTTTTTATTTGAATAAGGTATCCAGCACTTCTGATGTGAAAGCTAATACTCACAAAGCTCAAAAGTTAGTCCCCTTTCAAAACTGTGGATCTCTAGTCTTGTATTTTCTGAATGTGGAGCAAAAAAGGTGAGGCACTCCCATACTTACATACTGCTGTTTTGCAAAGGTGTAAAATCTACTTCTCTGTGCTTACAGACAGGGTTGCTTAAGTAAATTTTCATTTTACCCACTATAATTCAATTTCAGGCAGGATCTCTTCAAATGCCCCTGAAGATAACCCCAGTATGTTGTGCGTTCTGCAATAAGAAGCTGAATTATTACCTCATTTCATAGAATTATGCAGTAATTTATAGCAGAAAGGACCTGAGGGCCCTTTTGGGACCAGCCAGGGGAACATTCGAAGTTCCCAGAGTTTTACCATAATTTTATGTACTTTTACACTAACCATGTGGGGTTAGCCGTGTATGGAGGAGAAAAAAAAAAAAAAAACAAAAAACAAAAAAACCCCTTAACATTAAAATCCAAGATGCTGCTCTAAGAAAAAATAGCACAGACTGGAATTAAAGTCCTTGTTAGCAGTGAGAGAGAGAAACAAGTCTGATGTGACTTTTGAAATTTAGAACCTTTAGCCCATCTTTGCCATATAATAACTCCAGGCAGCTGCCGTTCCCCAGTTATGTTGTCTCATACCTCCGCTAGATGCCTAGTGACCCTATGGAGGGTTGTGGTTAATGTCTAGCAACCTGTGATGAGTAACCAACAGATACACTTGCACATGAGCTCTCAGTGTAAAGTACCACAGCTTTAGCTCGCAGATGACTTCAGCCGTGGAACAAAACGCTCATAAGCAATATGGTAACAGCAACAGAGTGGCACTCCTCCATCTGCAGACACTGACCGGTAACACCTCACTTAATTATGGACAGGGAGAGATGGTAGGAAGGTAGTAGGTGCATAAAAATGAGAGCTGAAAAGGTGTAGAGATCTTCAGGGAAAAGATACACCAAGTGAGCGATGCAGTCTGCTGCATCCCGCAGGCACGGCACGATGGCTCTTCAGGACTTTGGGACTACAGATTAAAAAGTGAACCATACCTTCAGGGTGGCTGAGTTCCTTTCAAACAAACAAACAGCTCAGACTTACCCAACAGAATACAGCATCAGCAGCTAAAGAGTCATTTGAAAAACTTCTGTTATGTCAAAAAAACCCAACAAAAAAATCCCCCAAACTCAGTGCAGCAAACATGTGGGGAAGAGGATTGCTTTATTCTAGACAGAGAAGCAAAGGCAAGGAGAGTCTGAGTAAGATCTATCTATCTATCTGTCTAGATATAAATTATAGAAATTTTTAAATATATATATATATAAAACAGATATTTATAGATGTATTTTTTTTTTTCCCCATTGAGAAATGTACCTTCAGGGTACTTAAAGCATACCCTTCTCCATGCATTGGAGACAACTGCTGAATTGCTGTTTTTATGGCAGATGTTTCTCGAGCCATGATGAATTTAACAAGAAAAACTTACAACTTCTGAGCTGGTTTCTCTCAAATTGGTTGTGGTGCTTAGGTTTTAACAATATTCATGAAACATCTAGTATTTTATCATTCTTGCTATTACTAATGTAATTAAACAAGCTTTTGCAGAGCCTTACTGAAGCCCTTACCTACATTTCAACCAGTCACTAAACCTTAAGTAATTCCACTGTTTTAAAAAAAAAGAAAAAAAATGGCCATTGGAGTGAGTACTTCATTAAGCCCTACTCTGAGTAAAGCATTTGCAGCCTGACCCTTCATTTCTTAGCATGATAAACTCTGGATAATAAAGAAGATGGTAACTGAACCCCTTCAGAGTCAGATTACAAAGGAGTTTTCATTAAAACCTGCTGCACGCACAGTTTCTCCAAAACCTCCTTTAAGAACCAAAATTTCCCATTTTTGGACTCTGTCCATAGATGACACTGATGGAAAAAACCCGGAAGGAAGAGCAACATTATTCTGTAGTTGAAAGAAATATTCAAGTAAATCAGCTCATTAAGAAAGGCTAAGACAGAAAGTGTTATGTGAACACTCCTTAACCCTTACAATTTCTACCAAACTAAAGCCCCTAATAATAAACTCAGAAAACTCTACAAGAATGAACAGTGGAAAATTCCATGTTTTCCTCCAAAGTTACTGTACTGTGTGTGTTTCACTAAGTGCATTTCAGCATTTCCGCAGAAGTACTTCAGCGTTTCAGTTAAATGCTTTTGTTAAAAGTCTGACACATTTTGAAGCGTGAAAATGTGTCAGAAGTTAGAAAGTGAAATGCATTCCTTTTTTGGGTCAAACGTCTTGTCTCATGTCAACCCCAACATTATGAGTAAAGATCTTTTCATACTCAAAACCTAAAAATTTTGTTTCAGCCTGGTGATGTTTTTTTTCCTAAATGGTGCCTGAGATGAGAAATACTTTTAATGGCACAATACTAAGACACAAACCATGTAATTCAGAGGCTCTGTAAAGATATTTATTATCTTTTCAGGACTATTGCACATATGATATCCTTCAGAGCTAGTTAATTTAAAAACATTGCAGAATATCCCCCCCAACTAGTTACATATAATTAACACATAGATTATTAAGCCATTCATACTTTAGAATCCTGTTACTGTGCCTATAAAGAATACAAGCAATTTTAAAAAGTGCAGTTCAGCAAAACTAGTGATCATATATAAATAAACATCTTAAAGTCTCAACTTATTAACAATATCCATACTGCATGGTTCTGCTACAGTAAAGTCCTACTGTCACAGGAAATAACGAAGGCATAAACAAGAAGCTGAACAAAACTAGACAGCAATTACATTTGCATAAAAATACAGTGAAGGCAAAAAATACAGTGAAGGCAAATAGGCCAAAAAACCCCAACGAATCAAAAACACTCCAAAAAACCTGCCAAACACAGTGCAATTTTGCTTTCTTAAAAAATGAGAAGACCCTTCCCTTCCCTGAAGCTACAGTGCACTCTAGTGACTACTCCCCAAATGGCTCCACTTGCTCCTTCAAGAAGTCCTTCAGAGTCCACAGGCCTCTCTATTGCACCAGATCACGAGAAAACTAATTCACCAGATCACGAGAAAACTAATTCACCAGATCACGAGAAAACTAATTCACCAGATCACGAGAAAACTAATTTTCCAGATTTTAGTCCAAGCAAGGAAGTATTCTGCCCTGCTACACGGGTGAATTCTCCATTCCTCCTTCTCCAGAAACCTGATAGGGATAGTCCTTCCAGAAAGCTGATTTGCTTCCTCTGAGTCAAATGGCATTTGAAATCTTCAGGTTACCTGCTAGATATGAGTGGAGAAAGCTCAGCAGGACTGAGCCCTCACTCTGTTCAGGCTCATAGGAATTCAATAGCACTGGGTGTTGCTGCTGAAAATGATATGGACACAGAAGAAAACACCATCCAGAAATGTACCAATTGCTTGGAAGCCTCATGCTCCAACAAGCACAGGACACAAGGAAACCATGGAGAAACATCCTTTGCTCTTAATTCTTATTCTCTACTCATGATTTTGCCTGTTTGCACTGAGAACTATTTCTAACTTTATAACATTAATGCCTGCAGCTTCACTGTTACTTTTTCAGTTCATACTTGTTTCCCATCAGTGCAGATGCTCAGGTAAATAAATAATTTTATCTATTCTGGCTTTTTTTTTGCTAAGGTAAGTGCTGAGGGAAGGAGAACTTCAGGTGCAGTGCAGCTACATAAATCCAAATGATAATACTGTCAAGCAAATTTAACAAGATTAGTGTAAAATAACATTAACAAAACATCGAATACAACGTAGTCACACAAGATGCACCTCATCAAATTGGGACAGCAAAATCCACAACGATCCTGTCTGAAACAAGAGTGCTCATTTCTCCATCACCCTCTATCTGAGAGGCACTGGCAGAGCCCACTTCACAATCCACCCATGCACGCAGAGCTTGCCTAAAGGAAAAGCAGAACAAATACCTCCAACTGCACACCAAAAAGGAAAAGAAAAAGCAGCTGCTTAGGATCCTACAAGAAATACTAATATTGATGGAAGAAACTAATGGAAGAAATACTGGTGGCACAACAAAAAGAAACTAGAGGCTGAGCAGTAGCTAGAAAAATGGGTCAAGGAAATGACTTATCAAGATGCTGAAGCAAGCCTTTTAAATGGTATCTTCAAAAAACAGGGGTTTTCTCCATGGCTGGAGAATTTTGGTTACCAGACAAGTCACTCATCTCCATGCAGGAGCTGAGACATGTTCCCAGGTCCCAGAGTACAGAGACAGCCCGTGCGGACATCATATCATATCAGGGCACTCTCAGGGGTGGTGGCTTCGCCCCCCTTTATTGTGCTGAGCTAATATTCAAGCTACAGACCCACTTCCTGGTTAAGTAACATCCAGAGGCTGAGACTCCTTTTGACTCAAGATAGGCACAGTTTCCAGAGCCTTTTACTTCAATCCTGTAAAGGAGAACGAAAGACACGGTTACTTTGACACCCATAATCAAATAATGCAATAGATCAAAAAGAACTACAAGAATCACAGGGTCTCTTTGTACAAAGCCTGATTTACCACAGGCAAGGCATCACAGGAGGATGACTGCTTGAAGAGAACACCACAAAGATTGTCTTTTTTTACGGGGACCTGGCCCCCATAATACAAAATCTAGGACTTGCAGTACTCCTGCATCTTGTCTGGTGGTCACTTAATGTGAAATATGCCCTTAGAGCAGAGACTGGAATTCACATTTACCCTCCTCAAGAATGCTGTGCTATCAAGACTGGTTCCACCTTTGACTTCCACATCCTTCTATACAGCTAAAATGTTCCAGCAGAAGCTGTGAAACAAATGCCTCTCTCATTTCTCTCTTCCTCAAAACCGAATGCAGCACTATGGTGAAGGGAGTGGTGGAAAAAAGGAAATGAACCCCCGTTTCCACACCGTAGGTGTCCCTGTGCAAGAGGTAAGGGTCTCCTTCACCAACTCTGTTTTCAAAGAAAGTATTACAGTGTTCTGTGAATAGGCCAACCAAACTAGTATGGTCTCTGGAAAATCCAAGGGACAAATTTCCATCCGCATTAACATGACTCTAACAGCAACTGAGCTTAGACATCAAGGTGTTTGTCCTTCTAAAGAGAGGGGGGGCAGTCTGAGACAAGCACAAAGGCAGAAGTCTAAGAATGTGAACAACTTCATCACTGAAAATAAAAACGTCAGTGGATGTTTGTATCACAGGCAGCGGATAAGCAAGAATGGGAAGGACTGCAATTTTCAACTTGAGGTGCCCACGTGTTGCTCACCTCTCATATTAAATGCGTAAGGTCTTTATCAGATCCAGCCCTCACATCTTGGAGACAAACTGAATTTAGTCACGCACCACTAGTAATGCCAGAGAGTATTTGAATTTTCCGCTTTTTAAGTTAATTTCAGATCTGTGAAATCTTAGTGCACTGGTAATTCTACCAACTCCTGCTGGCATCTACCCCAGGACAAGCAGCAGCAGTCTCTGAGAAGATGGGACAGTCGTCAGTGGGAGGAACAAACCACCCCACACCTGACACCGGTGGGACAGAACACAGGGCCATGACCACAGAGCAGCTCATGCCACATAAATTCACAGCTTCACCTTCTCCTCCAGAAGCCTTTTTTTGTACGCACATTCTACAAGAAGTACGGAAACGTCCCTTAGAAGCCTCCCAAATGTCTTTGCTATAAACCTCATGCAGGTTGCGTGCAGGTTTGCACTTTTGCAAAATACATCCTATAATGAGGAATCTGTGTTACTGTCATCTTCTTTTCCTCCCCATGTTGCTTTGGTATCTTGGTGGTCTCTTGGTTTAACTTTCACTTTTCTATACTGTGTGTTACAATGAGCTCCTGTCTCATATTGCTTCTGAACCAGGCATTATAAATTGATCTCCTAACTTTCATCTGTCACTGTTCTAACAATGCTATGTGAAACCTTTATGGTATTCCATGCTCTCTCCGTAGTCATCCCTTCAACATCATTACACAGATTTCTTTCAAGTCACTGTATTTATATTAGTTATCCTTTCTTACTGCTCTATAATCTAGCATCACCAACAAAACCCCTCAACACTGACTTACAGTTCATTGTCTAGTGCTTTCCCATTTACCCAAAAGAACTCTTCATTTCTTTTACAGAGTCCAATCCACGGGTCTTGCTTTGTTATCTTCACCATAAAACTCTGCAAGAATAAACCCGTATGAGAAAAGAAGTTTTGCATGTTCAGTCCAGTTAAATACAAAGCCTTTGATTCAGGTCTAGAAAGCGAAACAATGACCTTGCCTTTCTCCCAGAAGAAACAATATTAAAAATTAAATCTACAGTGTACTACAGCATCTGGATCTTGTGCGATCATGTAACTGAAAGAGAACTTACAACTCAACCAGAAATCAAATGGATTAATTTTGAGACAGAATCCCTACTACAGATACTGTAGTGACAAAAATGTCAATTGTGAGAAGGCAAGTATACTACTGAATATTAAGAACTGCTATGGAACTGCAAATGCATCATTTCACTGTGTCTCCACAAGAAAGTCTTCAAAGAATGATGAACACCTTTGCAGCTAACACATTTCTCCATTGCTGACATGTCTGGATCATACCGAGTTTTTATTATAAGCTAGCAAGGATTTGTGGAAGATATTTTTGAGATTAGTTAAGGAAGACCCTTGCCCTAGTGTGTGCAACACAGCTGACATCTGCACCCAGTATGCCCATTATACTGGTGTCTGTGATAGAGTTGACTGATCTAGAGAGAAGCTGTTTTAGAATATCAAGGTCTGCTATCGAGGTCTGTAACAGATATGGAAGAATATATTCTCCTAGGTCTTTGTGCTAGGTGGTATCCTTCCTAATACTGTAGTATAATACAGAAAATGATTAACTCCAAAGGTCAAGACTGACATATCTCCCAACTCGGTTGTCATTAACTATCTTGCTATGAGACAACGGTTGTCTAATTAAAGATAGATGAGATGCAACAGTGTTTACCCTGATAGTTGTCCTCAATGTATTTACAGCTGTGAGCAGCACCAAATTTAACTCAGGTAAGCCTCAGGCATTTTCTAAAACATCAAGTTCTAAAACTGATGTTTGCTGTTTGCACAGAGAGGAGGCACGCAGCTTTCTGCAAGCTGTGACTTGTCACAGTCTTTGCATCAGCTTTCAAATCATTCAGCTTAAGAGCCTGGAAGAACACACTGGTTCATTGTGCAGCTCCCCAGAAGTGAGATGGGGTGAAAGCAGGACCCCCCCCCCCCCCCCCCTTTTGTTCCCTTACCAGTTCCTGATGATTTTCGATCACCAGGAGGGAAGCATTGTACAAAGAGCAAAAGCTCTGACTGGAGTTCCAGTTGGCTTCACTCTCCGAGAGGTAGTAGCATTTCCTCTGGAAATACAGCCAACCTGATGGACAGTGCTCCAGGGAAGGACAGACAGGAAAATCTTTGGCTGAAGAACGGTTTACTGCAAAAAGATAAAAAGCCATCTACCTACTTCTTTCACCTGGAAACGGTTTCTGGAGCTTTTCAGCTTGCTTTCTGACTGCATCATTTAAAATCTTCAAAGTCTAACCATAGTGTTATTACTTCTGCCCAGCAGAAGTAATTATTGTAATCTAATGATATACTCTGGATCCTGCACACTTACGGTTGCTGATGTAACTTTAAAGTGACAATCAAGGGCAGGTTGGTAGAAGCAGCTGAGAAGGTGATAATAACATATCTTCCAAGGACTCTTCTACAAATTAAATATTTCTGACAACTATAGTTTTTGCAACTGCTGCTTCCCTGCAGCTAAATTAACAGCTTTGTTTATTATAGTGTCATTTTTTGAAGGACTACAGATTGGTTGCAAAGAGCAATCTTCCATTTGTTACTTGCTTTCTTGAACTTGGATTAAGACCAACAGTGAGGTTATAAACTTAGTACACTAAAACTAAACTGAGCACTCCCTAACCCCACTGCAACTAGTGGAGTAATTCCTCCAGCAGTTGACCACAATTTTAAGCAATGTGCCATGAGACATCTATTCAACTTTGAGATAAGGGAAGTTCTGAATAAATCTTTTGAAGTTTTGAGGGAATTCTGCCAGCCTAAAACTCTGGTGATTTCTAAGGCTAGTTGTATTTTCTTTTTAAATGATTTACACACTTACCAAACTGAATACACAAAATCAAAATGACAGTGGCTGTAAGGACTCCAGATACACCTTGCCATAACCAGATATTTGAGAACAGACCTGAAAAAAAGAAAGGTCATGAATTTAAAAGAAAAACAAACAAACAAACAAAAAAAAAAACAACAAAAAAACCCCAACATAAACAAACCAAAGCCATAACCAGTTGACAGAGGAGTAGAGCCCATGACCCACGCAGCTGTTCCAAAAAAGTCACTCTCTGTGGAAAGCAGGCTGGGAGCAGAGCTGAACACTAGGAAGTCTGTGACATTTAGCTCGTCATCGCGAAGCTACTTGGCTAACAAGAACTCTGATTTACTCTCAATTTTAATTACATCATCCAGAACTTAACCTAACAGCGAGGTAGTTCCCGCCACTCCAAAGTGACTGGAACAGAAAGAAATGAGTGCGGGACAGACGAGGGTGAACAGTAAGTCTGACGCAGACCTGATGCCGAAACACGGCATGGATAAGAGAAGTCAGTCGTCAGCTCCAGAGCCCAAAACTTCTCCTGAGGCACATCCAGCCTTATCCCACGGCGACAGGTTTTCAGAGCCTCCTTTTCTTCTCGCGTCCCTTCCAGCAGCCAGCAGCAGGCTGGGTTTGGAGGTGGGACCCGCTGACTGACTGTGTCCAACTTGGCAGGCAGCAGCAGGGGACGGGGGTGCCCCCGAAAAGCTGCAAAAGGGGGGGTCCCCTCTCACCGGTGCTTACTCTGCTGCCAGTCTGGGCAGCCTCCCACCTCTGTGAAGAGCCACGGCACACGGGTGGGGTTATCTACCCTCCACGCACGAGGCGAGCCCCACGGGATGCTGGCACAGGGCCGATTCCCAGCCAGCCCCCACGCACGCCGCAGTCCACACGATGCTCGTCACCGCCGGGCGTTTCTCGGGTGGGTCTTGCCGCCCGGAGCCAGGCGCCGTCCTCCTCCTCGGCAGCCCACGGCTGTCCCGCTTGGCCGGCGTCCCTCGACGGCGGGACCGCCACCGGATCCCCCCTCCCCGCCGGGCACCGGGGGCGCGGGGGGGGTTTTCCAGCGGCCCGGCGGCTCCCGGGGGGAACCGCCGCGCCCAGCCCCACCGCTCCCGGGCCGGGCGGAGCTGCGGCCTCCCCCCCCCCCGGGGCCGGGGGCTGCACGGCGACACCCCCCCCCTCCCCCGACGGCGCGTCCGCTCTCGCTCCCTTTCTCTGTCGGGGTGTCCCGACTCCCCCGCCCGGCTGCGGCCACGGGATCACTCGCGGCGTGTGTCCGTGTGTGCGTGTCCCTGTCCCGGCCCCTCTCCCTTTGCCCCTTCACCTTTGCGGGACCCCGTCTCCCCCTCCGCGGAGCCGCCGCGCTCCTCGCCGCCGCCGCCCCCTCGGCGCCCCATGGGTGCGGAGCGGCTGCCCCGCCGGGTGGGGCGATCACGGGGCCGGAACTACCGGAGCTCCCGTCCTCGGGGGTGGGGGCCGGCGGGGGCCGGCGGGGGCCGCTCTCCCCGGGCCCGGCCGCGGGGGGGGCGGCTCGGGGCGCGGGTGGGTGGGTGCGTGGGGTGGGCCCGAGGGCAGCCTCATGGTGCGTGGGCTCGGTGCCCGGCGCACGGCTTTGTGACGGAAAAAGGAAACGGGAAAGGGTTTGAGGAGAAGTTGGCTCCCAGCGGATCTCGCTGCGATTCCCTGCCACCAGCAGGACTCGGGGCTTGGGAGGGACCGAATACCGAGGCAGAAGGCTCTTGCTGCCTTTGTATCTACGTGTTGACCCCTTAAAACTCGATCTCTTTGGAAAACCTGGCCAGGGATTTCCCTTATCCAGGAAAGCATAAAGCCTGATGGTTGGCCAGCCACGGGGATGAAGGCCTAGCAGAAGCTGTAGCGCTGCTGGTAAGACAGGGCCGCGCTCGTCGGGAGGGCTGGCACACAGCACGGACACTTCATCGGGTGTGTTGGGCGCAACAGCGGCTCTACTCACAGCAGTCCTTGGCGGTGAGGCGCGTTCAGATCGCCAGAACACGGCTCTCTCCAGGTCAGCTTGTGGGCTCTGCGTGACACTGACGAGGAATTCAGTGACGGTTTATCCAAAACAGGCACCCATCTGTGTGTGAGGAGAAAACCTTGACTAGAAAACCAGGAGAACGGAGGATTACACTTTATGCTTTCATTGCAGTCTCCCATTACTTTAATCGTCAAGGATTTTGATCAGTAGTCGGTTGCTGAAAATTACCTCCAGGAGTTTATATTTGTGGGTAATAAAGAGCCATATAAACTTCATACTTCCATAAATTGACTTGCAGTTGATTTCAGCCTTTGTCTGCAGCAGATCCTCGTGTAAGCAATGGACTGGGAGAGGTGGACAGGCCAGCATGCCCAGGATGATACTTGAGAAGAAACAGGAAGGCAAAAGGGTGAAGAATCCAAAAAGATATGTGTGAAGCACGATGGCTTCAGGGAAATTAGGGAACTGAAGATTTCTAGGAGAAGGAGAATGGGAGAGGGAAGAGGCGATGGGTTCACAGAGCACAAGCTGTAGACACTTCAAGAGGTTTTGCAAGACTACTGTCCAGAAAGTCAGAGGAGAATGAGAATGGGGTGTGGAATTAGGGCATCGGGGAGGTTCAATACCTGCTCCGTATTGAGCAGATTTTGCATACAAGGAGCCGGTGGAATACCAATGTATGCACAGCTGTTATTCTAAGAACATGTTAGTCAGCATTTATTCACTCTGAAGAAGTGGCTCGCTTTCTTGCCATTCAGGCTTGCCTGTCACTGAGGTCAAAAATAACTTACCGTGGCTTATAACCGCAGAGCATTCATGTGTACTCTTTTCACACTTACTCACCCACTAATACAGAAGATACAGGCCCTTTCCCAGGATGACAAAAAATCTGAGAACCTGTAACATACTCAGTTGTGACTCATCTGATGCTCGAAAACTAATATAGTTATTAACTCGAGATGCTTCTAGCTGAGACACTCGACCTTTATTTTCCCTGATCAGTTTGGCTAAGACACCTTCAGACTGAAGAGTAAGCAGTCTGCAGCTGTAAGTGAGGACGTGTGATTTGGCAGGCTCCCACCACCCCAGCTTAAAACTTCAATAAGGAAGGGCTGCTGCCAAACTGCCAGTAGACTAGCGGAGCATTTGCACCAAGTGTTCAGGCTGATCTTGGAGGAGGAGAGCGCATCCTCATATCTGAGTGGAATGAAATGTACAGACTGAGTGCAAGTGGGCCACTTGTCTGACCCATGCTTAGCAGCTGGCTCTCCTTTCTTGTTCCTTACCATCTTGAGGTGTACGGGCCTCTGCTAAGGCAAATCTGTAAATTCCTCTGCACAGGTAACTCCCACGAACATCACTGGAGGCTGCTGGGGAGCTGAGGACAGCTGGTCAGAAAACTGAAATGTTTATTTTTGCAGGAAAAACTGTCTTCCATAAGGCACTGCAAGGGCCATATATTTATTTTTTTAACTGCTTATTTGGTTTCATAGAATGTTTCCACATTTTATAAAATGAAGATTGAAAAAGAAGAGAGGAATTTCGTAAAGGAAAGAGACAAAAGACAAAAATACCCTCCAAACTCAATCACTGGAAAATGACTTTAGAATATTGCCATGATGTAGGGAAAAAATGCAAACATTCTAAATAAAAAGCATGTCATTTTACAAAAGAAATGGTGTTCTCTGGAAAAAAGAATTGGCTCCTGCAATACTAGAAATCTCATGGGACTCACTCAAAAAGTTACAGTTGGACTCTGTGATGCCACTTCCTGCTTGCTGCTACCACAAATAATCTCTGATCACCTTCTATCACCCACTAGCATCCTACCTCTAGCTGTTCTGAAGAACGGCATTCAAGTTCTGCAAGGAGAAACCGCTGCGTGTCAGAAATTTAAAGGCAGCATCTACACGTCGGAAACACCTGCGCTGTGGTCACAGCAGTGTGCTGCAGAGATGCTGGAGTCTGACTGCCCCCAAACAGCTCCCATGCTAGTAGCAATCCCTCTGCGACTGCACAGACTGGGATGGACTAATTTACCCTGTGCTTGGTTCACTTCGTCGGTTCATCTCTGTCTCCCTCCCCAGTCAGTGGAAAAACTACCCGTGAGTTCAGAATCTTTAGTCAGACCTCGAGGAATTTGTACCCCAAACAAGACACTGCCTTCTGGTGTTCTGGGGTGCTTTAGAAACTCCTGTAAAGTCTACATATATCAGACAAGTGTTAGTTTCTTAAGGTCCCACTGAAGTGGGCCAATCCACCTGTTAGAAAAGGAGCTGAATTAATGTGTTTGTTTTTACATTTTTTAAAGCTAGTAAGCCTCTGCTGATGCATTGATAAGTACCTCTCACGCAGCAAAAAGCACAGCTTATTTGTGATGTTTTGACTGTACTGCCCCAAAGCCTCCTGATCTCAGTATGCCTCTGCACCATAGGAATCCTGACAGTAAATAAGGAGGAAGGTACTGAAAGATTTGCTTTTTGCTTGCTATTCCTGAAGTATATTTTTCATTAGTCCTGTGTTCAGCTGAATAAAAATACATTTATTTCTCAACAGTTATAAATTTTTTACTATTGTAGTGCCTATTACTTTTTGCGGCAATATATTTTCAGGATGATATTGATAGGTTCTTGCAATTCCCAAAGTGAAGTCATTAGACCAGAAAGACAAATGCATTCGCTTATCTTTAAGTTGCAAACGTGTTTGCTGTATAACATGAAACTAGTCAGATAAGTGAAAACAATACGGGAAATATTCATGTTTTACACAATAAAATGAAAGAAAAACATGAAGGATCAATGTAGCAGAAATAATGCTGAGTGGCTTATGGGACATCTTGTGTGCTTAGTAGTTTTGAAATTAAAAAGTTACTCTCCTTTAGAAAGTATTTAACAGAGGTATTAGGAGATTGTATTTACTGTTGAAGTTAAGTTAGTATTTGAGAAGTACTAAGCATTTTATAAACTGCCTTGTTGAGAATGCTGTGTATGTCAGACAACTACGTCTTTTACACCAAAACCATCTCAGTCATTCCACTGCAGAAGTCTTGCAAAATATTATTTTGGAATATTTTGGAATAGGTGGCACGAGAGAAAGGAATCCAGCTACGTTGTCAGCTGTGTTTGTATTTTTGGTGAGGCTAGTATTCACTATGATTGTTATTTACTTGTTTATAGCACTTGTGCATTGTTACTGCATAGTAGGAGACACATAGCCCTCATCTTCAAGAACTGACAGTCTTACCACTGAAAATGATCTAGAGGAGAGTAGAAATAAGTAGGGATGGTTGGAGTATGGACGAGAAAGCACCACAGCATTATAATGACATAAAACCAATTAACATTACATAAAAGTATAAAAATAAATACGACAGGGAGATTAGGGTGGAAACCTCCGATCATATAAATAAGCTTATTCGGCTTTATCTACACAACCTGATGGTCTGGTCTTCAATAAATATTAGTAGCTGTACTTCCTGTAAACGTTGTCTTCCAGGAAAGTGCAGGATTTCTTTATAGATAATATGTGATAGATATACCATAGAACAGGTAGATATACCATAACATAGATATACCATACATATAAATATAGCATAGAACAAACATCATGTTTAACACCTTGAAAAGTCACTCACCATTTGAAACCTTTGCAGCCACAAACCAAAGGAAGGTTCCAAAAAAGTCCGATCGTGGATTTTGCCAGTTGAGTTTGGCGTCATCATGTCCCTTGTACGGGTAGCAGGCATCAGAACTTTCTCTCCAAAATGTCTGCAGGCTGTGCATCTGCACCAGGAAGCTCTTAGAACTGAAACAAGACCGTGCAGCTACATCATCAGGCAGAGACCTCCACTGCTTCTACTGATAGGTCCATTCTCAGCCAAGGAGAAGAAAGAAGTCCATGCAGTGATCACCTGTGACTTTGAAAGTGGTGAGTCATCCTGACATGGGCTTGACAGAGCTACTCGACTCAGTTTGCCATTGAGCATCCTGTGCAGTTGTCTCATGGCTGCAGCTGGTGGAGCCGAGCACCTTCCATCAAAGGCATGAATAACGTTTGGAGTGCTCAGAAAGGTTTCTTTGCCTAATCTGTATCGGTATAACAGCTCTCCTCTCCAGCATTGCTTGTTGTAGTGCTGAAGGTACTGTAGGAAGAAGTACTGTCCTCCCTGGTGGACCAAAGCCGGGGAAGGATGTTGTATGAGAAGTGCCATAAGAGACCTGCATGGGGTCTCTTTGGATCAGACCATCTCATCATATGATGAGTTTGTGCTAAAAAAGAAACCAATATGCCATTGATTTATATGAGCATTGTAATGTTGTCAGGGCTATCCTTCACCACATTCTTTATCTGTCCCATAAGCCTGCTTGCTGTTTAGACAGCAGATCTACATTGGCAGTACATCATCACTGAACTGTCCACCTGTCAACAAAGTCCTTTTCTTACATTGATACTTTTAGAACCATATAAAAATGTTTCCATGCACAATACTGCATTAACTTTGGGGTTTTTTTGGACAAAATGTCACTTGTCATTGTCAGGTCAATTCACATGTCTTGGGTAGGCGTCTAGCATTTCTTCGCTGTCTGTTGATCACCTCAATAATCCAGGGTAGCCTGAAAATTTTGCTCTGTCAGTACTGTCTTCTTCCACCTCAAATAATATTAAATAAGTATTAATATTAAATACTTTAGCAACATAACTAAATTAGGTCTGGTGGTGGATTAGGCATATTATAGAATTGAAAGTAATCCTTATTACTTAAATGTTCAAAATCAGAATGAGATGGGGAAAAATAATCTGTATGAATGGCATATATGAGTACTACTTCACCTATTTCTGTTTAAAGTAGTTGTGTTCAATTAGAGTGGCTGATGAGGTAGGGTAAAATTGCCACTGGTGGTTTGGAAACCAGGCATAGCTGTAAAACTAGAGTATCTGTTTCTTTCACATTGAGGTCCCAGGCAAGATTCTGTATGGTAAATACCTAGAGCAACAGGCATCTCTGCCAGGAAGAGCTTGCAATATAAATATAAATGATCTGAATAAGGCCAAATAGAGAAATTATTATCTGCATTTTACAGGTGAGAATCAATGTGCAGAGGGCTGCAGTGTCCAGTTGGGGATGCCCCAGACTAAGAGAGAAACTGGCATACTGGAGAGAGCCTGGTGGAAGGGTAGGGGGCTGAAGCTCATGACAGACAAGGAGAGGTTTTGGGACCTGGGTTTGATCAGACTTGAGATGGCTGTCTAAAACTAGGTAATAGGAGAGCGTGGAGAAGACAGATTTGGACTCTTCTCAAAGGTGTAGTTAAAGGACAGCAGGCAATGGATGCAAGTTGGAACATGGGAAATTCCAGCTTCATAAAAGGGAAAACAATGTTTTACTGTGAAGATACTAAGGAACAGATGCCTGAAAAGGTTGTAGAGCCATCCTTGGAGATATCCTGTGGAGTATCCTTGGAGATACTGAAAACTCAGCTGGACATGGCCCTGAGCAAACTGCTCTGAGTGGACCTGCTTTGAGCCAGAGGCTTGACCAGAGACTGCTAGAGGACCCTTGTGACTTAGATGACTCTGTAATGCTTTGAAGGACCGTGGTCAATGTCTTTGTGTATTTGTGACACATGTAGTTTCTGTGAAGCAGGCAACTGAACTAAGAAATTCTTCCCATCATTTCCTAGTTCGGTTCATGTGTGGCTTCAGTTGTTCCAGTTTGGTAAACTCCCAATAAGCTTGAACTGATACCTTTAGCATAGTCTTCCTTGCTTAATTTTGTTGGTAATAGGCATAGGATCTTCTCTTCTGTGGGATGATTTTGTGAGTCACTGGCACTGTCAGGACTGTGATCTCATTAAAACATTAGGAATCAGTTCTGCAAGAGTGGATAGAGCTTTTAGGCCGTGAGGTCTATAGTGGTGCTGGCTATAGAGCCTCACGTTCATCTTCCTTGCATTTGCACTTCCATAGTGTCCTCCGTAATGAACTGGCCTTGCTGTATACCTGGCCATGTGGTGATACAACTGAAAATAGAAGTGAGGTAGATGGAAAAATAACAGTTGCACTGTTTCAGCTATTTTGGTTGCCTGATTTGAGTCAGGCTGGAAAATACACAGTGCTCATGACACAAGAGCAGGGCCACGCAGCTAAGGAGGAAGGTGAGCGTGGAGAACTGTTTAAGTTTTCAGAAGAACTACCTAGAAAGTATAACCAGAGCTGTAGGATATGCTTCTGCAATATGTGTGAGTCAAAGTACCAACTCACCATGATCAAAACAGTCTTGCTCCCTTTCTAGCCACCTGCATGTAGTTCTCTCTCTTCCCCCATTGATTCTTCTCTGTCACTCATCTGACGGTGCTATAACCTCATTCAGCTTGCTAATACAGGAAAAGAAACACATTGCTTTTTCTGAGTTAATTTTCTGAGGTGGTCAGCTGAATCGATTCCACATGTAGTCAGATAGGAATGAGAACTGCCTCAAGGTAGGTGGCATGAAGAGGGGAGAACATAGGATGAGTGCCTAGGATCTGCTCTTTTTTGGCAGCAGTGACCTGTTAAATTAGCACATGTCCTATTGTGAAACCTTATTCTAAGACACTTCACTTATTTTCACACTTTAACCTCTGTTTAAGTAAAGAAATTGGGAAAGGAAAAAAATCTGTGTTAAAGAATCAGTAGGATCCTCCTGCCCATTCAATAATTGTAGTCTGGGAGATGTTTCTTCTAGGTCCTTTTATACTGTTTTTTCCAAAGGCAGGTGTTGCTCCAAGTTTTGATGCGTAAAAGAGGTAAATAAACATGATGTGGATGTGTCATTGCCTGGCATCAAGCTATACCTTGAGCTATATGTTAAAAGGTTGTGTCTGGATCACCAGGGGACATCCAGGTCCAAGGGAAGAATTGTCTGGGTCCTGGTGTCACAGTTAAGGTGAACATTTTCATGCTGTTCAGTCTTTGAGGGACAGGGGGAGTATGTATCCAGACTGAGCTTCACTTTTCATGGAAACTTTCATGAAAACTTTGCTTTCAGGGAAGACTGTGTCTTCCCTATTCAGTGTAATTCCACAGCATTTTTAGTTTCTATGCTCCTCCATGTCTTGCCATGCTACTTACACCTCTCTTGGCTTTGTTTCATTTTGTTTTTTCCTTATCTAGACGTGCTCATAGACAATGTTTACATGTCTGCCCCACTTCCTTCCAGTTAACTGACCCCAGAGTTCAGTATCACTGGCTTCTATCCGTGAAGGGTCCAGGATGTGGAATGCAAGTGCAGAGTGTGTGCAGGTGGAAAGTCACTTCTAGGAACAGCACACTGAAGAAGAAGTGATAGATCCACCTGCTTCACCCTCTTCCTCAGATGCGAGAGTATCATCAGCTGAGATTATCAGAGAAGTGATATTTATTAGCTGTCATTGCTACGGATGGAAATTGCAATATTATATTTGGCAGGACATTTAAATATTTGACACTCTCGCAGCCTTGGTATGTTTTCTCTGTTTGTAGCTGAGACATATGTGCAAAGCCCTGCACAGAAGAACAGAGGTGAAAGATACAGCCATAGTGGTCTGGTGCCTTACCCCTCTTTTGCAGTACTGGTGTGGAGAATGGCACGTTTGTGATCAGGCAATGACTGTTAGAGTGGAAGATGGTGGAACAAACTACTTAGGTGAAACAGTGGTAAGACTTGTTCTCATGCAGTTGCTGAACTTTGTTCACCTTTTCCCTAATAGGTGGTATGTCTTAGTATAATAGGCATTTAGCTGAGGAGAAATTTTAAATACAGGAGATCTAACTCTTTCAGCCCATATTTATGTTCTGGTCATACAAACTTGCAGACTTAAAAACATCTGATTTAGCTGAAATCCTGGGGGAGGCTGAAGTGAAGGTTTCATTAGGTTTACTTATGGAGAGGAGGAAAGGACAGCAAACAACTGGAATTAGGTACCCAAGTTTGCTGTCTAAACGTGGGCAATATGACTATCACCCACTATGTCAATATTTTTCTGTAAACTGGTGCATGTGCAGCACTGAAGCACTTATGTGCTGTTAACCAGCAAAAAGTTTTGTTCTTAAACATGGCAGACACTATGGTTTTTGTTGTACTTGCTCTATGAGTTGCAGGCACCTGAAAGCAAGGGGACTAGCTCAGAAAACAGTTATGACACACTGTTAAGAAAAAAAAACAACAGAAGCAAAAGAACTAACTAAATGTGATGACCTAGATAAAGAGCATATGATTTAACTGATTGTCTGTGCTTCTTATGTCACTAATCTGGATCATTTTTACAGATCTTCAGGGTGAGGTGTTCCATGCTTATGCCTTTATACAGAGTAGCTCTGTAACTGACCCATAGGCTTGAAGTGTGTATCACCATACTCCGCTCCTGTCTGCATTGCTTGTTCTGTGAGATTGGGCAAAAAGCTTATGACATTTGCTTTGTGCTTCTGATCCACTCCTGTGCTTGCTTTGAGTGCCACTGAGGGCCAGTGCTAAGTATCGGTGTGTTTGTGCCTGTGCACTGTGCCTGAAATGACTCCTGACTTGTGCATAGACAGTTCCACAAGCATTAAGACAGGTGTCCATGATATCGGATGAAAGAGTAAGGACATTGTTAAATTAAAGCTCAGGTGGTGTATTAACTCCCCTTGTCAAAGATGCGACAGAAATCCTCAAGTTTGTCCTTCAAGTGAGGAACTGGGAAAAGAAAAAAATGGTAAACAGTAGGTGGTGTGTCATAAACCTGTTCCCGTCTTGCTTTGATTTCCAGAAATGTTTTCTGTTTCTGTATGAAAATGTTGGGAAGACAGGCTTTCCTACCCAAGCCTGACAAAATGTTTAAAAGTGTCTCCTTCCCTGGGACAAGAGGAAGTATCTTGAAACAGGAGGACAAAGAAAGCAGTGGGCGAATGGTGAATAAGGAAGGATCCCATTTGACAGGCAAAAAAATAATATTCTCTCTGAGAAGTAGGCAGAGTAGTGAGGGCGGAAACAATGAGTGGAAGACTACAGATGGACACTGCAAGTGGAAGCGGGAAAATTGTGTGTAACCAAAAAAACCTCCAAACCCTAAATCAAGGCTCTTCTCTTAGAAGCTGTCAGAGAAGCTACAGGAAGTGAAGCGTGAAGCATGAACATTCAGAAATGCAGGCACTGTGGTGTCTAAGGGTCAGCCAAGAATTTGACCTCAAGCTGGAGAAATGACAGCAAAACTTGGCCTTGTGGTTACAGTCTGAGCAGATCAAAGAGGTGAAGGGTGCAAGCAAAGTTAGCAGTCACTTGGTGGGAACTTTGGGGGAACTTTGCAATTTTAGGGAAGAGTGAACTAAGAGAAGTAAAAGTGCAGAAGGCGCTGCGTTGCTGCAAGTCCTTTCATTGGCTTGTCGAATAGCTGTTTGCTGAGCCTGCAGACTGCCTGGCTGCTCTCTGCAGTTCTTCCCCTGGGCAAAAGAGGGAAGAAGAAACTATCCTACTGCCTGAAATTGGGATGATTTCTTCTGTGAAACACAGGGTCCCAAGGAACTGAAGGGTGAAATAGGAGGCGGGCTCCTCGGACCTCCAGAGTTTCTGCCTGTGTTACCAAATATTAATCTGAAGTAAGGAAGAAGATTGAGTACCTGGAGAAGTGAGAGGCCATCCACTGTTTTAATTTTGTCTGGTTGTAGCAAAGATTTTGTGCTGGGTTCTGAAATCCTTTTTCTGAACTGGCTCATCAAAGGACAGACCACTGTTCATTAGAGTTTTTAAAAAATTGCAGTAGTTGCATGTTTTCTTGAATTATAAAAAAACAGATGGAGAGCTCCTTTTGTGTTCTACTTTTTTTTTTTTTCCCCAGGTTTGCATTTTGATCAGAGAAACTGAAACAAAAAGCCTCAGCATGTACTAGGCGTATAGTTTGACATGTATGAGTATTAGATGTATGTTAGAGTAAGTCTGAACTGTAGTGCTTTAGGATAGCTTAGAAATGGGTAGCGATTTTAGGGAATGCGGTGCCATCTCCACAGCTCCTGCCCAGCAGCAAGAGCTCCGGTGGCTTGTCGCTGTTGGGTGTCTGCTCTTGGAGAAGTTCCTCTTTGCTTCAGAGTGGCTGTAACGTACTACTCTGTTTATTCAGTGTAAGAAGACTCAACCTTCTAGACTCTTTATGGCTTTCAGGGTTCTCCGTAGTTTGCTCCCTGCCAGTACCAGCGGGTACAGTGTGCGTTGCCCTAGAGAGCCCACTCTGCAAAGCACAATACAGATTTTCTGAGCAGAAGATGATATCACTCATAAAACACGCTGACTCCAGTTATATAGGAGCATGCTGACGCCAGAATGTAACGGCTGTCAGCATAGCCTGACATAGCCACTGACCAATTTAATTTTGCAGCTCTAAATAAGACCCCCCCACCATTTTTATTATATTTTTTTTCCCCCAGTGGACCCATTCAAGGCAGTGACACATAGCAATGCACCCCTCATTGCCATTCTGGCGTGACTTTCATATGTCACTTCAGCTGCAGCTTTGCAAAGTGTGGCATCAGCAAGCATGTTGCTTCCGATCTGAATGGCCCGAGTGCTGGGTTGCTGGGTGGGTGGTTTCAGTGGGACTGGTCCAAGCATCGAGGTGCTTGAGAGTTCATTGTTTGGAGGAACTTGAAATGGTTTTTAAGGCATTTTACAAACCCTGAGCTTTACAAACCATGAAGGCATCAAATGTTTGTATTCTTGCCAAGTGCCCTCCCCTTCTGTCGCTCTCTTTCCAACGCTAAGGCTCCTCCTTCCTGACAGGGAAGTCAGGGTCGCTGAAGCCAGCAGCCGCCGGGGCTCGCATCTCATCTCTTCCCAGGAGGTGAGCGAATGCTTCCTTCCTCCTTTCCCTGCCGCTCTCCTTCCTGCAGCGGAGATGATGCCCCGCTCCTGAGACAATGCCCCACTCCCGGCACCCCAGGGCCGTGGTGGGAGATGTAGGGAAAACAAAGGTGGCTATCGCTCAGGCTCCTGGGCTCGCAGCCCTGGTTAGTTTTGGTTTCAGGTCCTCGTGTGAGCTCAGCAGAGGGGAATTCCTTTCTGAGCTGAAGGAGGAAGAGGGCAGGGAGGAGGGCCTCGCATGCAGTCAGCTGTCGAAGGGAGGAATGTGGAAGCTGGAGATGTTGGAGAATGCCTTACGCTGGTCACACAGTTCTCAGCCAGCTTCCGTGTGACTTGTTCAGGTGAGAATATTTGGCAGGAGGACACAGTTTGACACCCCTTATTTCTCTTTGCTATCATAAAGCAAAGTTGCTTGAAATTTTGCATGCCAGATTTTAGCAAAAATTAAAATTTTCTAGGACTAATGAGGCCTCGGATGATACAGGGAGCAATCTAGAGTGGAAGTACTTGAGCCTTATTACACTTCATTGCCCATGGGGAACAGTCATCTTGCACCTTGGGTTTTGGAAAGGTCATTGTATTCTCTCCCCAGCCTCTCTAGTATGGATGGATGGACCACTTCAGAGAGATTTTCACACCAGGAACAAAAACCTCCACAGTGATTACACCTTGATCTTAAAAAGGTCTCCAAGGAAATACATTTGCTTCCTTCTTGTCTTGCATAACTAGGCTGAAGTGAAGGACAGACCGTCTGAGAAGGTTCAGGAGACTTTCTGGTGGTCTGCAGAGAGCTGTCTGACGAGGGCTGCTACACTTACTGTACTAGCTCTGCTTGTTGCTTCTCTGTGTTGATATGAAAAGCAGTGAACAATATTCTGTGCATTCCTAATATTTAATCCCAAGTGGATAATATTGATATTTATCACTAAGGAGCTTTGTTGTTTCAAGTGCTTGAATGGAATATATAGTTACTTATAATTACTATTGTAATTTGATTAAAATTCTAGCTAGATGAAAAACATTGCTCCTAGAAACAATTTCACTGGGTTAAATTAAAAGAATCGGTGCTCAACGATGTGACTGAAGTTTCCAGCATGGAATTGAGTTGAAGCCAGGGACTAAGCCAGATGCTTGATACCCCAACTTCTGAACTCAGAGTCTGTCACCATTATCAGTGTGTTTGTGAATGCAAACCCATAAGTGTATAGTGTTGCCGAGAAAAGAAGCATGGACAGGCAAAGTGGTATGCTTTTGGTAGGCAGAACAGTTTGCAAAATTGTGCACTTTATTTCTGTCTGTCTTTGCGGAGCATGATTTCATAATTTGTGCTTTTGTGGTTTGCTTTTGCAGCAAAGAATGATTGATTCCAAAGAGGAAATTAAACCCATTTCTCATACTTGTATTGGTGAGACCAGTCCTGCATTATCCACAAGAGCAGGAATGACAGATCTTCGAGGACCACAGGTGCTTCCTGAGCTACCTGCACTGGCAGCCCATGAGACTCATCACATCTTTGTCAGTTACAGTAACATCAATTCAGAGTGGGTTAGGAGCCTTATCCAGAGCCTAGAAGCCATGATTCCTAATCTGAAGGCCTGTTATCATGAGAGGGACTTTATACCAGGTAAAACGATTATTGAAAACATGGTTGAAGCCATTCAAGGAAGCCAGAAAATTGTCTTAGTCCTCAGTCCTGACTTTATCCAGAGCAGGTGGTGCCTTCTGGAAGCCAATCTGTCTGTCTTCCAAGACTGTTTAGGAAGGAAGCCAGTAATCCCCATCATGTTGGTGCCCTGTTTTGTGCCGCTGCAGCTCAACCATTTGACTTATATTGACACCAGCGACATCCACTTTTTGGATAAAGTTATCAAGGTCATTTGCACTCCCAACCACAAGATGAAGAATGCTACCATGGTTCCTTACAGCCCTCCATCCCTTTACAATGGGAAATCCCTCCTGGCTCTCCCTGCAGTGGATGATCAGGTCATTCCACAATGGAGAGGAGGCACATTCAGTGAGGCACTGCCTGACCAGCTGAAAATATTCTGTGAAGATACTGAGGTCTACAGAAAGGCCATCCAGATGATTAATCGGGTATCATCTAGGGTATCACCTTGTTCAACAGTCATCATTATCTTCGGGATATCAGCTTACCTGTTAGGAAGCTTATACTTGATGATTGCCACCTTCTTATTTGCTTCTTTAGACCAGGACTCTGGTGACTCCTATAAAACCTTCCTTGGCTGTATTATGGTCTTTGCAACTTTGTCTACCTTTTCTGCTTTTTGTAGTTGTGCCTACAACTACAAAATCAAATTAGCTGATGAGAAACTTCTGGAGATGTCCCAGGTTGCTGGTGAGGCCAACTCATTGCTGACAAAGAATTCCCTGCTGATTGGCTGCGATTCCCGCGTGAAGCTCCATTTAGTTTATATCTCCCTGGTGGGGTGCAGAAGGCACTTCTCGGAGACTTTTGGAGAGGGAGAACGCTTTGCCGAAGAGATGTTTCAGCGAGCCTTGCACTATTTCTCCTCTGATTATGCCTGTTGTGTAGCCAAGAGGCACTTCCAGTTCTCCTACTCAGGGACCACACCAGGGCACTGGGATAAAGGGCCCTGTTTCTGCCAGTTTGTTTCCCACTGTGTGGAGGAGGGGTCCTGGCACTGGAATAGTGATTATCGTCAGGATAAAAGGAGATTATATGCTGGAGAGTTTACACTCTGAGCAAGATAGAAATGTAGTGGACACTTCTTGGTCTCAACAGTCCTTCTTCCCTTGACAAAAAGAGCTTTGTGTAGCAGGAAGGGATTCTTTTCTATTTCCACTTGACCCTTAAAGAATTTCAAAACTAAAGTATTTGCAGCCCAAATGTTTCCAGTGTAAATAGCAAAGGGATAAGAGTGCTTTCTTCATCTACTAAGGTAGCTATACTTGTGCACAGCCCTGAGAAGCCGCCCACAAGACAAAGGTTAGGGGAATAAAAGTGTAAAATACAAAGTAGTTGGAAGTGCAGACACTCAAGCACACAACAGAGGGCTTACTAAAGGCTAATATAGAGGCAAATGTCCACTAGGGAACTTTATTTACCCTCCATTCTAGGCTTATTTGCAGGGGAGTTAAGAAGAGAAGGCTGGATCATTTACTGCCTCTTAACCACAGCATGTTCTTTACTACACTCCCTTTACTGTAGGTCATACAAAACAGGTGGGGCAAGTGCTCATCTCCAAGTCTATTCTTGACAATGTCCAATAAGGAATTGCCTTGCTGTATATGAGTGTGGGGTAGGAAGTAAAAACAAAAAACAAAAAAAAAAGCTAAAAACCAACAGAAAAGTACTAGTGAAAAGGGCAGCAGTGGGCAGAGCTGAGTAGCAGTGGAATCAGCAGAGACCAGTGTAGATTCTGGAAATTCATGCCCTCTGGACAGCAGTGTCTTTAGATGGATGCTATCAGTGATGCACTCCTTTCTTTCTGGCCTGGAAAGTTCCTGTCAGAGCAGGTGGGGAACAACAGTCGTCTGTCTAAAGGATGAATACCTGACTTGTCCTTTCCAGGGTCAACATTTTAGTCCACATGGAACATTTTACAAGGCTGATTTCTGGCTACATCAAGATGTCCCTTCTCTCTTCTGCACCTCAGTGACTGTCTAAACTGAAGTGGGTCATCGGTTATTTTCAGAGGGTAGTTGTTGGGTATATAGAGATACAAGAAAAGGGAAGGGATGTTATGCAAGGGGCCTGATTCACTGTGGCAGGGAGAGAAGCCTGGGACAGTTGCACTGACATACTGCTACTGTTGGGCACCACGGCTTGTGTGATTTCCCAGACCAAAATTGCTGGGTCCTAGACGTTCAGTAAGGTTGCTGCCACTCTGCTGCTGGCCTGCCCAGCCCAGCAATAATGCCGAGACATCTCTCCAGATACATCTAGATACTGGAGAGAGAACTGAGGTATCACAAATATGAGGCACCTTTGTGGACAGGTGATAGATCAGGTATTAGTAGCTTGTACTTACACTGCTCTGTTTACTTTTCAACTTTGATTGTGCTAGTTTGTTTGTTTGTTTATTTTTATTTTATAGCCAACCCTTTTTAGTAACGGCAATTTAGACAATTTTGTAGCTATTCTGTCTTTGATGACCCAAGTTTCATATACAAGAAATGGAAATATCTTTAAGTTCTTTCTATTAAATCATGCCAAGAAATTAAAGCTTTCAGGTTTCCCAGTTGATTGTGAAACTGCGTCAGCTGCCAGAATCAAGACTTTCTGATATTTTGAAAATATGCAGAGTATTTTTGTACAGATACTTTTAAACAGAACATGATTTACAGCTCAAAAAATCAAATATAACTTTGATTGGCTCAGTGGCCTACCTTCAATCCAGAATGAACAACATAGTTTAGAGCAAATATAAAGCCAAATTCTGCTTAAGCACAATGAATTTAAGGAGGGCTTATATAGGATATAAACAGTGGCAACATTTGGTCCACTGTATCCATCTATGAGTTTTTAAAATAAAGGCTTATAACAGAACACTTGGATAAAAATCAAAGTGATAGTGTTATTCATTATTTGTTCTACTTGCCTCTTTCTTTTGTATTGCTTCTTAGAGGATCATTCATCTCTTAAATGCACTTCAGCTGAAAGATTTATTATAAATGAAAAGGATGATACATTCCATCCAACTTGCAAATTCAGCTTGGATCCAGGAAAACAAAGCTGGGCTCTTAAGCATTCCTGTCCTAAGCTACAGGTTCATCATTCACGTGGTGAACTGATAAATTTGATTAAAAGAGGACAAACACATTGCTGTTTACAGTAACCAGTAATAGCATCAGCTTTGTATCCCACAGATCTGGCGGCTTTGCAGATCCAAACAAGTGGAAAAATCCCTGTGTTTACACTTTCAGTTTTGTGTTTTCAGTTGCCAGCATATGCCATGTTATCATAGCAAAGCATGATTTGTTTCTTGTTTTTCTGTTGCATAAAATATTTGCAGATTGTTTTATGTGTAAATGGACATAATTTCTTTTTTCTAATTAAACTGATAATGAGAAAGATAAACTGTAGTCAAAACTGATCAAAATCCACCATCATGGTATCTGAAAGTGTGAGACTGTGTAGAGAAGATAAGATTCAGGGGGAACTTGTTAATGTGTGTAAATACCTGATGGGAGGGAAGAAGGAAAATGAAGCCAGACTCTTCTCAGTGAAGTCCTTTCCCCTTTCCCCTTCCCCCTTCCCCCTTCCCTTCCCTTCCCCCTTCCCCCTTCCCTTCCCTTCCCTTCCCTTCCCTTCCCTTCCCTTCCCTTCCCTTCCCTTCCCTTCCCTTCCCTTCCCTTCCCTTCCCTTCCCTTCCCTTCCCTTCCCTTCCCTTCCCTTCCCTTCCCTTCCCTTCCCTTCCCTTCCCTTCCCTTCCCTTCCCTTCCCTTCCCTTCCCTTCCCTTCCCTTCCCTTCCCTTCCCTTCCCTTCCCTTCCCTTCCCTTCCCTTCCCTTCCCTTCCCTTCCCTTCCCTTCCCTTCCCTTCCCTTCCCTTCCCTTCCCTTCCCTTCCCTTCCCTTCCCTAATGTAAATATTAAATAAGTAAATAATGTTTGATTTCCCCTAGACTTCCCAATGATAAAACCAAATGGCTTGTGCTGCTACTTGTGTTTTGAGTTGGGGGGAGGGGGGAGCACAGAATGTGGGACTTTTTTGTTTGGTTGGCTATTTTTTGAAGTAGAAATGCTAGAAGAGCAAAATCTGGTCTAAGGAGATCCCACCAAAGTTCCCCATGTTGGTCATGGCCTTGAAGAGCAGGGGGCCTGTTGTGTCCCCAGAGAACCAGGTTAGCAAAGTTCAGAACTGAACAGACAACTTCTCAGTTTTTTTCTGTTAAATACATGTGAATAAAAATGGCAAAGATCAAACCATTTGAACAGATAGAATTACAATCCCTCTCAACCTCATCATCGTGGGTTTGTTTCCATGCATCTTCCAATATCCCTTAGACTTCCAAGAAGACTGGGAGAAGAATGCCTGAATTTCTGATGAAAAAGTAAAATACCCTTATGTATTTGCACAATGCTTATATATAATGAAAACTCATCCAACTGCATAAATATTAAAAAAAAAAAAGGCAGCATTTCCTATCAGCTTCCCTCTTCCTTTTTTTTTAACCTGTGAAATTGTAACCTGTGAACCTCCTTCATTAATGACTTAACGATAAAAGCTTTTTAAGAGTCAATTGCTTTTACTTAGGAAGGTTTCCATAGACCGTGGTGAAAAGGGCTGGAGTAAATCAGAAAGAAGAAATTAAAAGGGAAAGGAAGGGAGGGTTAGCACCCTTAGCATACACTGTTGCTCCTGTTTTCATACAGCCAGTTCAGTGTGCTTTAAAATAAACTACTGGAATACATGAGTTACTGTGTGACCTCTGAGTTCTTCAGGGTCACATCACATGAAATCCTTGAGGAAAAGATCCTACATAACTGAGCCCATGAACTGCAAAGAACTCTTATTTAAAAGTGCAAACTCTAGGAGAAAGATGAAGAATGCACTGCCCAGCCTCAGAAATTTTCAGGTGAAAGAGGAAAAAATAGAAGAAACTGTATTTTTGAAGACAACAAAAGTAGAGCCTCCAAAACAGCAGAAAAATCCCAAAAGCTCTAATAAATCTCATGGGTAGTTTTCTTAGGCTGTCCTCTCCTGAGGCCTATTGGAGAAGAGCAGGAATTTATGATCTGTCTGAACAGAAATTCTTTGGATAAGTATACTTGGCTTTTACCTGTTTTTACTCAGTGTGATTTTATTTTTTCCTTAAGTCCTGAATTCCTCTAGATTTTAGTGATTTTTTGAAGTGAATGATAGTAAATAACAATGACCATTAATTTTAGAAGCCTTAACTTGGATGTGTCTGTCTTCTAAAGACCAGCTTTAAAAAGATAAATGAGCTGCCCTGAAACTGTTTATTTTCACACAAAGCGCAGAAAGTTCGTGGCCACAAATGGTTCAGGGTGACTGGAAGATGCTATAGCGGCTGCTGAGAGATTTGCTGAAATGCTGGGACCATTCAGTAGCAAGTAGGTGTGTCACGTGGAGTAGAGCTTATTTGTAGATTACTTGTAAGATATTTGAAACATCCTAGATAAGCAGGAAAAAGCGATTTGAATGTGTATATGGTGTTTGCTTGAGTGATTACTATGCACACAGAGCTGGCACAAGACTCCTTTTTTCTTATCTACTCTACTGACATATTGATATATTTTTTTCAGTAGTTGTTTATTGTTTAGCTCCTGTAATCTCTAGTACTGCTATACAAACGTAAAATGGAGTACTCAAAGCACCCTGTGCTGTCCTGACTAGACAGAAATAAATATGATGGAGTTGGGTTGAGAAAACATGCCCAGTTCATGGGGTAAAGTGTCTTTCATATCTATGTCTTAGGTGTACTGCAGAGAAGACGACCTGAGCACTGTCCTAGTACTAAATGCCAGTGTATATATATATATACATACACATTTTTCTTGTCTGTAAACCTCTACATTATAGTCACTATACCATTCATTTATGGAGTTATAGGAATGTATGAAGAAATCAATTCATTATTATACACTGACATCCATCCTTTTTATTGAAATTATTTTAAAGGACACGTCATTTAGAAAGCACAGCAGTGTGACTCCTTACCCTCACAATCTTCTTAAGTATCTACAATGCAAACAAATAGATTTAATTAGTTGGCACTTACATTCTGCAATCATGATGATGATCAAAAGTGTAACTCTACATCATGTTTCCATGTTCTTCTATTACAGATCTTATGTTGGCATGATAGTCTTCTTTCTTCTTTGTCACCTTGATATGACAGCCTTTCTTCCATGAGCAAAAGTTTCAAAAAGCCAGACATACTGTCAAGGTATGTCCCATTTACTGCGTGACCTTGGTCCTCCTCCACTGAACCTTTCACAGGGCAAGCGTTGTGGACATTTAGCTGGTAAGGTGGTCTGTTGACAAAAAAAAAAGGCCACCAGAAGAGGGGGCAATGCAATTGTAGAGGGAAGTGTTTGCTGCAAAGGGTGTTAATTTTGGCTGAGGAGTTTTTCATTCTGTCTTGCATAATGTAGTTTCACAGCTGGGGCTTCCTCTTTCTCTGTTAGATGAGACTGTGTGGGGGCAGAGGGATGTGGAAGACACTGCCTGCTTATTTCTGTGGCAGGATGAAAACCAAGAAATGGTTGGAATTTATAAGCTAAGCTAAATATATAAATTTTTCTAGAAAATGTCTTTTGAAGCAAAGAGAATAACTGTGATGGCTGACTGTACCTTCACAGGAGCTAGGAGGCCACAGCTGCAAGTAGCCCAGAGAGAGCTCCTCTCTAACCCCTGAGATGAGGTGAGGTGCCGCGCAGACACCCACGCTGCAGGGAAGCAGTGGCTGTAGATGCACAGGCACCATGCACAAATCAGGCCAAGGATGTGTCCTAGTGTCAGTGTCTGGAATTCATAAAATAAATTTGAGGGGTTGTCCGGTGTGGGAACAGATGAGGTGGCCTAATGACATCCTAGTGACATGTGATTGGGACAGTCCCAGGGGGAATGTGCTGAGCACTGTGCATCACCTGCCTAGGGCAGAGCAATAGCTCTTCCCAAGCTCACCGTGACACTGCAGGCACTCGCTATCTTCTCTTGGAAACATCTGCTAATATCTGAATGTCTCTGCAGATAATATTAACACTCTTCTAGGCACCAGTGAACAGGCTTGTGATCAGTTCCAAGATGCACACCCGTGGACCTTTAACTTCACAGATGAGAAGAACAGGACAGGCAATGAGCAACTGCAGAGCTTCTGGTGCTTGCTGTGAGATCCTGTTGTCCTTTGCTTCCTCGGTAATTGTCTGCACTAACAAGCATGTTCTTAACTGGAATTACTGCCATGAACCTGCTAAGACAAGTACTACGTGCTTAGCATGGTGGAGATGACTTTCGGGTGGTCAGCAGCGTACCCTATAACACATGCTTCTGTCCAAAACACCATCCTGGCCCTTGAAAAGCAAGATGTTTAGCAACATGGCACACCAAAAAGAATTGAGTTAGGCAATGGGACCCATTTCCAAAACAATCCCACAGTCACTGGAGCTAAGGAACATGGCATTCATTGGGGGTGTATCACATCCTCTGTCACCCACCAGCCTCTGGAAAGACAGCAACACAATGAACTGCTAAAGACTAAGCTTAGAGTGATGAGTGCTGGGATGTGGAAACACCAGCATGAAAATTTAGCAGAAGCCACGTGGCTGGTTAGCACCAGATGTTCTGCTAACTGACTTGGCTCTTCTCAGACAAAGGCCCTACACACTGTAGGATGAGGTAGGGTTACCATAGTACGTGTAAGGGATCTGCTTGGGAAAGACAGTGTGGCTTGCTCCTCCCTTGGGAATGGGTAAATCCATTTGTGGGATTGCTTTCACTCAGGAGTGTGGGTGCACTTGGAGGTTAATGTGGAAGGATGGGGAAAACTAGTGTGTACCTCAGGGAGAGTTAACCTCAGGGGTCATGGTTTGAGTTGTATGTTATGGGAGTACTATAGCAGGAACCACCTGAACCAACAGAGGATAAGAGCCTCACAAGAAACTGGGCACATGCAGCTATAGCTCTGCCCAGACTGGTTTTAGCACCCAACAATCCATGACAATATGCTAACCCTCCTGGTCTGAGTGACCACTACAACATATGGAGCCCAAGTAATTGACTAAATTAAATGAACATGTCCTGGGTTTGAGTGAGTGGTGGGGTTTTTTGGTGGCAGGGGAGGGGGGCTATAGGGGCGGCCCCTGTGAGAAGCTTCTCGAAGCTCCCCCAGCTCCAAGCCAGCTCCACCTCTGCACCAAAACTGAGCCCATCAGCTGCGCCTCTGAGATAACGTATTTAAGAAGGGACGTGGTGAGAAGCAGTGGGACTTGTGAGGAGGAGTTGGGGCAGCTGCATGAACACCAAGGTCAGTGGGGGAACGGAGGAAGAAAGGAGGGGGGAGGTGTGCCAGAGCAGAGACCCCCCTGTATCCTGTGGTGAGACGGCAGGGCGGCCCCCCCTGCCACCCATGGAGATCTATGGTGGAGCAGACACTGATTTATGGCCTGTGTTTTGTTTCGCCTGGATGATCAAGGTGCTGTGCCTGAAGAAGGCCGGGGTCTTGTGGGAAGAAGCAGCCCCCGCTGCTGAAATTCAGTGCTGGGAGGATTGCAGCATGTGGGGGAGTCCCACGCCGGAGCAGCTCGGGAAGGGCTGCAGCCGTGGGAGGGAATCTGGTTGGAGAAAGTTGGTGTCCCACGCTGGAGCAGTGTGGGGAACGCTGCGGCCCGTGTGAGGGATTCATGTCAGAGAAAGTTTGTGGAGGACTGTCTCCTGTGAGAGGGGGACCACGGTGGAGCAGGGGGAACAAGTTCCAGAAGCTCCCCCCACTGAAGATGGAGAAAATGGCAGCACTGCCTGCACCCCCCATTCCCTGCCCCTGCACCGCTGGGGGAGGACGTAGAGATATCGGGAGCAGAGCTGAGCCCGGGAAGAAGGGAGGGGTGGGGGGAAGATGTTCTCAAGATGTGGCAATGCTTCTCACTGTCCTACTCTGTTAAGTGTTGTTGTTAGTGTCTGTAATAAATGCATGTTCTTTTTTTCTTCCCCTAACGAGTCTGCCTTTTGCTCGTGACCATACAAGGTGAATTCCCCCTCCCAGTCCTATCTCGAACCCCAAGCCTGGCTCATGTCCCTTTTTATTGCCAGAAGAGAAGGGGGAGGGAGTGGCTGCGTGGTGTTTGGCTGATGACCAGGCTCAAACCGTGACAGAACAGAAATTAACAGATATTTGAATGGATATTGGAATCAGCATTCGATGGCCTGTAAACTTAAGGGAACAACATCTGTGTATATGTCAAAGTATGGGGTGGGTGTGATGAGGGGATATGAACATGAGGCAAATGATATGGAGTAAGTGGAAATTGTACTGGGCATGGCTAGGATAGAGTTAACTTTCTTCACAGCAGCCTGTATGGTGCCCTGTTTTGGATTTGTGTCTAAAACAGTGATGATAACACACTAATATTTGTCTGTTGCTGAACAGTGTTTGCACATCATCAAGGCTTTTGCTTTCTCCTACTCTGTTCCCTGTCTTCTTCTACCATGAGTGGGCAAGAAGGTAGGAGGAGACACAGCCAGCACAGCTAACCCAAATTGACCAAAGGTCTTTTTCATACCATATAACATCTTACTCAGCAATAAAAGAAGGAGGCATGGAGGGGGTTGGCTCCAAGGTGGCCATTGCTCAGAGACTGACTGATCATCACTTTGCTTATGGGAGGCAGTGAGTGACTGCTTTTATGTCACTTGCTTTTTTCCTCTTACATATAAAAATGGCTTCATCTACAGCCAGGAGTTTTCTCGCTATTGCTTTTCTTATTCTCTCCCCTTTCTTTGCTGCTCTGGAATTTCACTGGGACTGTCCTATAGGAGCTGTCTGCTACTGAAGCTGGTATTATTTTCAGTGACATCATCTCACTTCAGTATTTTCAGAGGGCAGTACTGGAAAGTATACTGCTACATCAACAAGTCCAATGGATAAAAGACAGACACTACACTTGATGATGCCATTTTAAAATGTTTTTTAAATATTCTAGAGTCCCACTCATCATTCTTTCCATATCCGTTACTTGATGCTTGATTTCTTTTTTGTTAATGTAGTTGATTTAGAATTATCCATTGCCTCACAAACACTATGCTTACATCTCAGTTGCACAACTTGAATTTTACAGTGCAACAGAAGGAAATGAGATTGGGGATTTCAAGACACATTATAGGTGTTTGTGGTGTAAATAAAAGGAATTAAACTTAATGCACTAAGATGCAATGAAAGCTACAGTACAAATAAAATTACCTAAAAGAAAAATGGTACACAAATCTTATATGATATTACCCTTATGTTATGGTCAAAAGCAAATTGTAAATTTCAAGCAGGAATCCTGAACCATTGTGCATCAGCTAAAGTAATTAAATGCTCTAAGAGATCTCTCTGTCAAGATGAAATGAAGTGAGAATCCTGACTATGATATCTGTATAGTAAAGCTATTTGGCTAATCAAAAATCTCTACTCTGCCACTGAAAATATGTGGAGTGGTGATGGATACGTCTGAGGATGGTTTTGGAGCAGATTTTAAAAATAGCCTTGGATACAGCTTCCGTTGCTGCTCTTGAAGTTTCATCTACATTTTCTCATTTCTGGTGCTCACCATCAACAATATCTCAACTTACATCTTCATACAAAGTGGTTTGTTTCAGGATGAATTTTGTAAGAGCAGAGACAGGAAGAAACTGTTAGAGAAACAGTCATGCATTGCACTTGTCATATAATTGAGCTTAATTACACAAATCTTCATTGTCTGTGATAGATAATGATAGAAATTTGGAATCTCTACATTTCACTGCAAAATCAGTGCAGTTCCATCTGTCAAAAGCATATCCATTTCCAAGGAACTTGCTAAGCCATTAGTGATGCTATCCATGTTCTTAATAATCTGTAGGAACCTGCGTGCCTATAGGTACCTGTCCCTGTGGCTAGTTTTCAGTTCTGGCATAGTCTCCTATCCCAGACTCCTGTCCAATATGGAAATTGAGTATATTTTTGTAATATAACAGGGTGGGACAGCACAAGACAGCACATTCACAGCATTTAGTTGAATTACAGCACAGCTGAAATTGTTGCTTTTAGACTTTCAATTTGAAATAAGAGAGGAAAAAAATGAAAATCAGAATCTTCATCCTTATTGTCTTATGTCTGGGCTGTTTTTGAGAAAGTAATAGAAAATGAATGATATTGCTTCTACTAGTCATGCTCTATGTTATATAATAGATGATAAATCCTTCTGAGACTTGCAACTTTGCCATCCTTTTCACACACACATACTTCTGAAGTCCACAGCCTTCTCCAAATTATGTAGAAACACAGTCAGTTATTTCTGAGTAACTGATTTCTATGAGGTGTTTCTCATTTCTTCTGGTCATTTGCCAGGGACAGGATTATTTCCAACTCACAATTGTAGGTTTTTTCCTTAGTCCCCCTCCTTGCCCTTCAACGCCCTCTATTCATCTAAGCAAGCTGTGAAAAGTAGCATTTCAAGGTATTTATATGATAGAAGAGGACCTATTATCAAATTATGCCAATATTAGCCATCTGTTATTTTATCTATCAACATGCCCATTGCTTTCTTTGCCAGTGCATCTACAATGTCTCTTGATACCTTACACATCTAGAAGATAGTACCAGTGAGAGCTTCCATGATGAGGCCTTTGGACTCATTGGTTGAAAACAGATCACATCTGTTATTTCCTACAATGAAGGAAAAGAGTGGTTCTCTCTTTTCTAAAGTAGAAATCTGCACCTTCCAATATTCTCCTTCCCTTGATATAACCAGATAAGTAGTTAGAATGCAAATGATAACACATATACACACACACACACACACAGAGGGTGGTGGAGGGTACCTCCATCGACGGTCCAGGTAACAAGTGTGCCATTCCCTGGCCAATGATGCAATCACAGAATCACAGCTGTTTCTTTGTTCCCTCCATCAGGTGTTTCTTGTCTTGTGTTTGGGTTTCAGAGAAAGCATCATTTAATCACATATTTGTACCTGCTAAACTAGGCCTTGATCTGTGGCTGTGACATCAGCACTCTGAGCTGTGTTCAAGGAAAGCCTTGCACTGTAAAAGGGATTGGACAAAGCAGAATTTAAGAAGGACAGTGTCATGGTTTAAATCCGGCCGGCAGCCAAACACCACACAACCACTTGCTTCGCCCCCCCCAGGGAAAGGGGGAGAGAGTTGGAGGGGTAAGGGAAAGAAGACTCATAGGTTGAGATAAAAGCAGTTTAATAATTGAAATAAAATTAAATAAAAATAATAATGATAATAACAATAGTAATAATAGAAAATACAAATGAGTAACGCATGAGGTGATTGCTCCCTACCCACTGCCCAGTGCCCAGCCTGTTCCCGGCTAGCAATCCCAGAGAACAGAGAATCCTGAAATCACAACCCTGGAAGTGAGAGCAAGCTTCCCGATCAACTCTCATCTGCATACTGAGCATGATGTTAGATGACATGGAATATTCCAGCGGCCAGTTTGGGTCCGTTGCTTTGGCTATGCTCCCTCCCAGCTTCTTGTGCACCTGCGCACTAGCAGGACACGGGAAGTTGAAAAGTTCTTGATTTCTTACCAACAACTAAAAATATCAGTACATTATCAACATTCTTCTCATATCAAATCCTACACTGAATCCAAAACACAGCACTATTCTAGCTGCTGAGAGGGAAGGAAAAATAATAGCTCTATCCCAGCCGAAACCAGGACACAGATAAGAATAGCAGCAAAACCTTTCTAGGTATTCTCTTGCTTGCAGGCTTCTCTAAAACTCAGTGCTGTCGAGTTGTTACACTGCCTTTTGCGCAGATTTATCCTGAAATGCTTGTATTCTCCCACAGAAAGCTAAGTATGATCTGGTGATTAGTATGTGCCAAGGATTATTCTGGTTGCATAGTTTGCATGCAGCCAAACTGCTTTGGAAGGAGAGCTTCGCTGCGGAGAAGTGAGTTGTGTCATCTGAGTCAGAAAAAGGTCCTGGCCGATTTCATTCCTAGAATAGACATTATATTAATAATCCTTTCCCATCCACTTGCAGATCTTTTTACAAAGAGAGAAAACACTGATTATTTTTTTCTTTTTTAATCAGCAGAAAGATTTGCAGAAGTTTAAGCATGAAAGGAAAAAAAAAAAAAAAGATCAAGCAGCAGAGAACAACTGCTCTGCATTGTCACAGGGTGCAAGAACATACAACTACAAGGGCTAGAGTTCAGGTAGACTCTGAATTCAGGTAGACACTGGAGGTATTATTTCCCATAAGTGTGAAATACACATAAATAGGCAAAGAACATAAAATATTTTAATGCATTTCCTCTGAGCTATTACAACTAAGCGTTGGTCCTTTCCATAGAGAGGCACTGTTTTACTATGAATGGATGAACCACTTATGTTTCAGAAGAGCTTGGCACAGTCTGGTGCCGAAGTGCTGGGTATTGCTGCCCCATTTCCAATCACAATTATCCATATAATTCTCCTTGTGAAGTTGTATATTTCAGAGCCAAATCCAGAGCCCCGAATCTCAGCTGCTTGAAAACACAGCCAAAAGTCCACCTGATCATCAAATTTATGATTTCAAGTAACATTTTCTAAAAACTAAGTCTGGAAATTAGGGAATATAGACTTCAGAGCAAATTTAAAAAAAAAAAAAAAAGCAAACACGAAAACCCCAAAAACTTATATCCTAAAAAGAATACATGGTTTCTGAACAGGCTTTATTTTTAACATTGGACTGGCTTTCAATGCAATCCTGACATATCTTACCCTAAATCGAATTTTTATCTTAAGATTAAGATGGATAGTTTATTCCTCACTTCATGCCAGATTTGTACTTCATCTTAACTTTTCTGCCTCCATCATAACCAGTTCTGATACACTTATGGACAATAAATGCATTCCTCTATACATGACATTTCACTAAGCTAGTCCATGCAAACTTTCCTAATAATTTCTTGTAAGATCCACATTCTCCATATTCTGGCTGTGCTAGTTATTATTCTCTGTACTTGTTACAGCTGATATTCAGGTTCAACATGGTTAGCTTGAACTCTTCATATTATTACAGATAAGGGTATTTTTCCTATAGAATAGTAGTAAAATGTTTCATCTCTACTGGAAATATTTATCCAATACATTCTAGGACTGCAGCACTTCTTTTTCTTTTTTTTTTTTTTTTTTTTTTTTCCACAGCCATGCTGCAGTGGCAGATCCCTGTCACTTAGCATTGACTGAAGTGTACAGGTCTTTTGTCATTTCCAACTGCTAAACTCCCAGGTTAATTCTTGTTATTAGTCTGTTCTGCTGCACTTTCTGCTGTTCCATTTTATTCTGTTTCTTTTGCTACAGTCCTCCTCAGGTCATACAGTTCTTACTGTATTAGGCTTGGATCTTCACCAGTTTTGACGTCTTCCAGTGTTGCATTATTCAGACGTAACTTTATGTCACTTTAGGCATTATTGGTAGATGTCTGCATTTTGCAACAAGGACACTACTGAATGTATTACACGTGACATTTTTTTCTAAAAAGCTTGCTAATTTTATATGTGGAATCCTAATCAAATGTTTTAAGAAAATCCTAATTTCAGATGAGCCAGTCTTCTCAGAGAAAGCTGACCAGGATGAGTTATCCTTGTGAATATATTCACATTGGGTTTTTCCTCTCATTGACCTCTGTGATTTGTATTACCTTTTCCTTCAAAATTTGCTTGAAAACTGCCTATGTTACTGAGGTGAGTATAGCAGTCTGTATCTTGTCTAGATACAAGGAACAGGCAGTGTATCTCTGAGATGGTATTTGGGGAGCGTTAGCTGGTCCCTTGTCTGTAGCAGTCAGTGAGCCTCCAGAAGCCCTGAGCCAGAATAAATGTCATCTGACAGCAAATGGAAGGTGCTGTCACTTCATCAAGGCTGCATCTATGCTTTACTGGCCCTTTGAAGAAGACTGGGTGCTTTAGAACCAACAAAGTAAATGGGAATGATCAAATGTCAGAGTTACAGTACTTAGCACCAGCTTTAACACCAGCTGGCAAAGGCCTGTGACCCAGAGGAGTCCTCTGGGATCACAGATGCCTACACATTACTTGTGTCTCATATCAAACATTGCTAAATGGCATAAATTATACCTAATTTTCCTGTAATTAATAATTTCAAACTTATAAAAAGAAATTCAATAACAAACAGGCCTATTCATGCTCCGAACCTGCTTCCCACATCCAAGGGAAATGGATGCTATTCTCACACAGTGAAGCTGCATTGAAAATATTTTCTTGGTCTCTCAAGATCCTTTGTTTAATTAGGTATCAGAAGTGGCTTTTGCAGATTTTTTTCTGTAAGGGTAACGGTGTCATTAACATTTTTCTAAATTTCATTTTCATAATATAGTCAGAATCTGGCCTTGAACAAACATCCTCCTGAACTGGCAAAGGGGCTTCCATAGGAAAGGTTCAGCAGAGCTTCATCTCAGCCACCAACACCAGATCCAGTTTACCCACCCATCCTATGCCCAAGCTCTACAGACCTTTTGTTTTTAGCTCTCCTTCTGCCTCTTTGAAATATCTGCAGCTTTTTCACACATATTTTGTGTTGTTGAGGATCCACTGCAAGGTGCGGTTTCTACTTTGCCATGTCCAATGACACTGCAGAAATAGTCAGTAAAGTCTCCTCCTATGGTAAACCTGAACAAGGAGAGAAAGTCAGATTTAGTTTAATTCCTGACCGATGCAATGCAATCGGTATCACTGCCATGAAAGGCAGAGTGGCACCTGGCCTTGCTGCTAAGCTATAGTACTGTCAGTGGGGTTAGAAGTTGCCTTATTGGAGTATCCTTCCCATTCCTTAATTTTCTTCCCCAGACCTCAACAAAAGCATACGGGCTATGCTTTCCCATCCAGAGTCCTTCTCCTTCTTTGGTAGTCTCCATTCAGTGGTGCTGACATCACACTCTCTCTTGTACCTGCCCGGTGTATCCTTTCTTTTGCCACTGAACTCCATCCAGCCATATTCCTCCTTCCCCTCCAGAACTACAGCTGTGTTCTCTTTTGCCATCCTGATGTGATACACCTGTGTTCCCACATGACTTATAGGCTCCCTTTGACTTTGTCACAGGGATGTGCTTCCAGATGTTGCATCACAGTGACTTGCTGAAATAGGCTTACATGTCTGTGCTATGTTCCACGTTGTTAAACCACTTCCACTTGTTCTCGCTCTTAGAGTATGTGAGACCAAGTAAGTAGTAATGACTTTCTGATTGTGAAATGAGATAATCCTAGAAAGGAAACAAACAGTTATAATACATTAAATTTACATTTTCTTCACTAGAAGCACACAGAACGCTTAGTGCTAAATAGCCAACAGACCAGTGTGTGTAAAGCCACACCATCTCTTTCCACAGCTTCAGAGGCTGAATTTTTCCATTTTTATTTCATTTCATCTCTGTTCCTGGGGATTCTTATGAATCAACTACGTAGAATAATACACTTGTGATACCATTAAAGCTATACAGTGTAGTTAGCCAGGTGTTACTTGATACCTGGAGACACTTTTCAATTCCAATTGTGATGTGAAAACCTTTTCAGTTTTTGCCAAAGCAATGGCTCTCACAAATAAACGTCTGTTCTACTTGCTTGGTCTTGGATTGTGTGCTAAATGCCTTTAAAACATAAGTAAGCTAGGCAGAGAGTTTGCTCCTTCGCATGGGAACATCCTTGGAGAGAGAAGGCTCCAGGTGCAAGACTTCAAGCACCAAGATACGTCTGTCTGTGAAGGTGTTTGCTACCATACAGAGATATTTGGTGTATACAGCTAGCAGTAGATTATAGACCCCCAAAGACATCTAACATGAGAAGACCCATCAGCCCTTTGGCATACAGGTTAAGAAACTCTAGAAGCAGCCCTATGAATTTAGATCTCACCAGTTTTTCCTTGCTGTCAATGATCACCAGGTCTGAATTCATGTCAGTACATTCTTTACGGGAGGCATTCCAGTCAATTTTTTTCTTCATTTGAGAAAAGAAGTAGCATTTTCCCCCATTTTTTTTCCAGTGTTGGGGGCAGCCTGCAGGAGGGAAGAACAGGTATGAAAAAATCCATGTGCTCACTAACAAAAGGATCCCATTACAAAAGAAAGTTAAGAGAGTAAATTAGAGCCAGAAGAGTACCTGTGAGGTCCTGCTTATAATTTTCACCAGACCAACGGGGTTCCCTGGCAATCTCTGTAGCTAATACCAGCCCAGGAGTCACTAGGCATGAGTGAGGAGGAGGAGACAGACAAGGAGATTCACAGATAACATTATCCAGCCTTTTAAATCTTTGCTCACGGGATAAAGACAAATGGTCAGGGTAAAAAGCAGCTTTCAGTTTTTAAATGTCTTCTCTGCCTTCTGTAACATATGGCAATAGTGATGCTACTTAAAGACATTTCTCTCCATTGCCAGGCAGGGTCCCAGGAGGAACAGAGAATGGGACCTGGAAAGGGTGGTATGATTCAGGGAGATAGGGACTGCATGTTATAGCTTTGTTGGTTATCCTGCATCTCCTAAACAACAAAAGGGAATTGCACTTATTTAAATGTTAAGAATGGAGGGGTATTTGAAAAGCAGTACATGCACATCGATCCATCACACTCACTACGATGCTGTGATACCAAAAGGATTGTTATATTCATGTCCATTCACCTCACCGTGGGCTCCTCCGTACTAGTGTGAGAGAGTAATCAGTTCTTACCTCTGAAACTGTAATGCAGTGGTGACCAAGCACTGCTTTTAAAGAAGATGAAAATGTGAAATGTCTCTGGACTTAAGAGCTCATCGTATGAGTGTACAAGATAAGGTTGTTTATTCCTGTGATGTCAGAGGTTTTTTTTGGTTTCTCTTTTTTTTTTTTTTTTTCTGAACAAAATCTAGACACCCTCTCCCAGCCCCCCTCCATCTTAAAAGGCAATCTAACAGGCTTCTAGAAACTGTCTTTTGAATGACAGAAGATTACCTACCTAGTGCCTCTTCATAAGTGGTGGAGAATGTTTCTGAGTCAGGTGGGCTGCTTGCATTTGGATAGTCTGGAAATAGGAATACAATTTCTGCTTTGAATGGCTGGCCATTTTGCTGTACACCATCAGAGCTCTTCTGGACATCTTTGACCCCCACCATCATCCCACACAGAATGCCTACTCCTCACCTTTTTTTCTTCTCCATTTTAAAAACCCAAACCTGTAGTGCCATACTATGGAGCAGATTTCTAAAGAGTCTAACTCTGGAATTTAACAAAAAATGCTCCGCACATTTTCAGAGTAGTGGTAAATGTGGTGTACAGTATACGCATAACTATAGCAATAAGAAATAAGCCATTTTTGAGAGATCAGTGCTCAAGCCAATCTGTTCTTGCTTAAGTATGCTCCCACACAGATTGGAGCTGCGGACACTGTTGGCTCCTACCCCGAACAGCTGGGGTGAGATATTCAGGCAGAGCACACCCCATGCCCCAGCTGGAAGCTTATCTAATGACGTTGCTCCCCTAGACCAAAACACAACAACAGTGTTCATTTTAGGTTTTAAAGCATATACCCAGCCTGAAATAGCATTGATTTTCCTCTTCTTCTAACACAGTGGTTGTGAGGGATTTGTGCTCCATGGGAGGTTTCTGGCTCCAAGAAAAAGGGGCCATGGAGGGCGGCTTACAAATTTATTCATATTACCTGATGACTAGCTGGACTGCATGAATTTATCACAAAGAAAAATGGAAAAGAAAATGTTTTGAGAGGGTGAAGAAAGTAGCTGAGGCCTCAGGTGAACTAAACTTATTCTTAGTTTACTATGGAAGCTCATGTGATTTTTATGTATTTTTCATGTCTTCTCAGGGCTTTGGTTTTTATCAGTTTAGAGACTCCCCCAGGAGTTTAGACCATGTTGAAAGTATACAGTTCAGGGATCACTCACAGTTAACAGGCTAAAGGAGGATTATGTTGTTCCAGGTGGCTCTGTGTAGCAGTAAGAAAATCTTGGTATTTTCCCAGATTCTCTGCTTAGGAAACCTTAGCTTTAGAGACACAGTTGCCCATGCCATGAATGGCTATTATTAGTTCAGTTGACTGGGAGATACTAAATTGTCTATAACAAATTTTAAGGAGGTATTTTTGAGGTTAACTGAAGTTAAAAAATTAAGGGATGAATAATAACATTAAAGAAACATTAAACTAAAAATTGTAGGGGTAGAATTCTTATACTTGAAACCGAAATTGATAAATTCCTTTTAAAAAAGAATATATAAAATAAGAAAAAGATTGAATTAAAGAAAGTTCTAAGAAGCTTGTACCAGAATGACACGGAGCGTGAAAGAACTGACATCTTTACAGACTTCATACTAGAGCCAAACGATAAAAGAAACAGAATATTAAAGGAAGAACTTTGTCTACAATCAGCAAGCTCAAAAATAAGATGAGGGAAAAGAAGTAGAGTGGCAGTTAGATTTGATGACACCTAATCTCTTCTGGACATTGAGGTTTGGTAGTGAAAGGATAGGTTACTAGCCCAAAGCATCCAAACTGCAACTATCAACAAGAGAGGTGGCAATCCCGAGCTCTTACTTTCCTTGGGGTCGAGCCACTTCCCTAGTACCTATGCATCCTTACAGATGCAAGACTCTATGGTGCAGTAGTTGATACGTTGAAAGGATTTCAGCCCACCAGAATGTAGTCGTAACTATGCTGACAAAAGTAACTATTGAGTTTGAGAGATGAGCATCTCTGTTACAGAGAATCTGGGTTTGCCCTGTACCCACCTCTGGCAAAAATAGGTTATTTTGTCATAAATGTAGCATCTCTTCTTCCAATTCATTTTCTGTAGCCAAATTTTAGTGACAGTAATCCTAAGGAGCATCTGTGCCCTGACTGAATAGCTGATTCTGGTAAGAAATTCAGTTTTCATAGAATGCTGCAGAAATTCATTATTTCATCAAGAAATAAAGAATACAGACAAGGCAAAGGTTTTCAGGAAAGGGAATACCTTTCACTAGGTGCACTTTTGCCTGCTGTGAGAAACAACCTGACCAGCCTTTACCATGTGAGGATTTTTTCTACCAACTCCATCTCACAGCATTCTTCATAACCAAAATGAAACAACTTTTATCCCTATGACAATCATAAATATAGATTTTTTTTGGCTGGCAGCTACAAATACTCCCAATGGCTGAAATATCCTCCCAACTGCTACATTAAATGATTCAGTAGAATACTCAACATTGAAATAAATAACAAATTTATGATTGTCTTATAAAACAGATCACTTCACCCCATAGAGCATAGACCCTACTGCCAAAAATGTCCAGAATGATTTCAAGGACCACTAGAGACTCCAAACTGAGCAGTGACAGAAGTGAATCTCAAATTTAGCACAAAGGATTAATCAGCTCCTTCAGTAAACCTAGAGCCAGACAGTGGGTGACAAAAGGAAGTAAGTATGAAATAACAGTATTATTCTGGGAAATGATTATATTTGCTTTCTCAGAAAAGAGAGCCACTGGACCAAGTTTCTCTGTTCTGTAATTTTGCTTAGGGTTCCCAGCATCTGAAGGGACCTAGGATTTTCTATACTGTTCTCTCTTTCTTTATAGCATTAGCTCTAATAAATAGCATTTTAAGTAATACTTTACAGAGTCTGAGAGCTCTTTTTTTTACTGGGATTGTAATGAGCTGGCATCTGGTGATAAACAGTTATCAAACTACTCTTTTACATATTGCTGAAGTATGAATTGTAAAAGCCACTATAGACTTCAAAACCACGCTGCGTAGGAAGTCCTACTAATCTACATTTCTTTCCTAATAGAAAGCAAGAACTAGACTCTTGCAGTTGTGAGAAAAAGCTTCACTGTAGCACCTAGAACCAAATACTGACAATGTATAATACTATTTTTACAATTCAAAGATCAAAGTTGATCAATAAAAGTCTAATTTTGCAGAGACTAAATTTTGTGATTTGCCCTTTTCTTTTTAGGGATTAGCTTCCAATATATTGGTATAGGAGAAGTTGAGTCTTGGATATCACTATTAAAAAAAAAAAACAAAAACAAAACCAAAAACAAAACCAACAACAACAACCAACCAAACAGAAAACCCAAAACAAACAAGGAAAGATGTATGTCTGAATATTTGAAAACAAAGGTACTTAAAGCTCTGGTATATAGAATTACATTCAAACCTGTATACAGAGATACACATGATAAAGTATGCATTACATTTTAAAGAGTATTAAAACAGATAATTGTGGTGGAAATAATGAAGTTAAAGCTGAGGACTGAGAAGTTGAGGAAGCAACCACGTGTTTGGAATAGGGCAAAACAGAATGTACTCTTCAGGAAAAATTCTCAAAAACATGATATGAACAAATATCAGGACCATTTCATTTAGAATATGAAGAAGCTGGGGTTTGCATATAGCCTGAGCCTGTGGGTAGAAACTTGAAGTACTGCTTGTAATTATATGCTGAATTCCTTAGTATATAATAGTACCAAATACTGGTACTAAAAGTACCTAACATAATTTTAAAGCACTGATTTCTGAGAAAAAAATAGAAATTAATGCATACTGGTATGCATTAAAAAAATGAACACCACCCTACTGATTCTTCTACTGGATGGAAATCAATTGAAAACACATAAATGGTGGGTCAAGATTTTCTTCTGGAATATTGTCACCTTTAACTCTGAAATCTGCCTGGGAGATGCAGACAGTAACATTTCTGCGAATGGTTCAAAGGCAGGAAACTTAAGAAATCATCAATGTGTTATTTTCTAATTGGAGCAACTTAACACTGAATTTTATGGTGCTTTAGTCATACGCTAACTGGGAACATCAAGGCTTTTTTTGCATTTTACTGAATCCCTAGAGCAACAAGGAAAAATAAAACAGAATAATTGGTTTGGAATTGTATGGTTTTCATGCATATATGCATTTATATGCATATATCTTGAGGCTGGATATCAGCTCCTAGTTTCAGAAAAAAGAAAAATGTAATTCATATGAAGGAGCATTTGAAACAAAGTCAGACCTGCCTGTTTATGGAAGACCAGCTCATGAACTGCAGTGCCAGTTTTTTACTTACCAGCAGATAAATTTTCTCTCAAGCAAAAAGAAAATAGTATGACACTACTATAAAAATCATAAAAATTTCTGGTCAGGTTCTACTGAGTAAAATTTTTGTAATTTTCTTGAACAGAAATGGAAAATGCCTTCTGGCCTGCAGAGCTCTTTTATAATAAATCAATATTAAGAGGTGACAGTTCACTTTTTAAAGTTGTTCATTAGGAACGGTATATTTGGCAAAACAAAACTGTATGGAAAACTCATATAAAATTAAAACTCAGAAATAAAACAGTCAAAATGACAACAGTTTTCATTTGGAGTACAACTGAAAACTGTGCGCTATTGAAATAAAAAACTAATTTGATTTAGTTTCTCAAGTTTGATCTAGATCTCAAGTTTCTTAGGAGTATTTTTTTGGTTCACTGAGGGAGTACTGAAATCAACAAAGTAACTATAACTGAAGCCAGACCTGAATTAAAGTCTAATGGCTCCTCATTCAACTCCTCAGTAATGCTAGCAATTTCATCTTGTTATGCTGTGTTGGTTTGTTTTGTTTTAATTTTGCCCTTCCTGTGGCATTTTACCTTTTTACAGGTCAGAGCACTATGAGACATCTGTCCTTTACGCTTTGGCTTGAAAAAGAAAAAAATAATTACATCCCCCAACACTATTTTTTAAGTTCCATGGATCAAAGGGTTTGGCATGTCCTCAGAAAGAGTTTCTCCATGTGCATCTCTGAGTAGGTTGCAAACTCTGGCACTTGATTGACTGATTGATTGTGGAAGCCTCCTAAGCTTGCTCAACTGTCAAAGGATTAAAAGAAACAAGCAACCACATCTGAAATTTAAAAATTATTCCTTGAAAATAATCAGAGGGAAGTATCACATGACTCTACTAAAATCTGTTGTTTTTTTTTTTTTTTTTTTCCTAATGGAGATTAGAATGCTTTATTTCTAAAAAAATATATATATCTTTTTATGTAGTTCAAAAATTGTTATGAACTGAGTGACATATATGCAGAGAGACCTAGTACTAGGCTTTTATTCAAGTAAAGGACAAACTAATTCCTTTAAGTTGTGACTTAGCCACCTCTTTCAAATGAGCTTTTATTCATATTTGTTTAAAGATTTTTGGTGTTGTGGACATCTTGGTGACATGATACAAGAGCATTGCCTTGAAATATTCTTACAGTTAGCAGTCATAATACTCATAATAGGCATTATCTAATCTTGACTTGTTTCTTCAAAACATTTGTATAATAAATTATTTATTGCTTGAACTTTGTCAGTTTTTTAATTGGGTTTTGGCTTTTTTTCTTTTGGAATTTTAAACCATCAAACCACTCTACTTTTTCACAGATTTCCTCTTACAGCCACAGTTGGCTAAAAGCTACTGTCCTGTGCCTTCAAACTAGCCTTCTGTTGCTACGGGGTTTGGATGTCGTGACTTAGGTGTCAGCCAGTGGGTGAGGGTCACAAATTCATTGCAGTTATTACATTTTTAGCAGGACTTACATAAGAGTATCAGACACACTGCTAAGACCAGTGGGGGGATTATCACAGCAACCAATACAGCGACACGTGTTCTGGAGCAATATCTTTTACCTACAGATAGAAAAAATAAAGATTGAGGTAACAAATGGAAAAGGAACCCTTTGTCTTCATTCAAAAATGCCCTTTTCAGGCTCACACTGAGACAACTTTTTCTTGTTAGACAAAGCCCTTCAGTGCTGTCCCCTCAGGTGTTTGTTCTTCTTGTAATAGATATGGTGTGGACATGTTTTTGTTTTTTTTTTTTCCATCACTGACATTCAACCTGAACCCTTCTCCCATTGCCTAGAATACTTTGTTAAATTCTGCTGTGCTTGATACTAGAGTTAAGTGCTCACTGGGATACTTACATGTCCTCCCAAAATACTATGAAAGCAAAACCCAATCAACCTACCAGATAAAGGTCCTGCCGTGTAATACTCCTCAACACAGCAAATTTTTCAGAGGGGTTGAACAGTCTCCTCTTTCTCTTTTGACTGTTTTTTATGGACTTATGTTCAGGATTTACATCAAGGGGATCCTTGTGATATTCATTAGTCTGTCACCTCAGTGGAAATTGGCTGGGTGCTATAGAGCAAAAGAAGGTCCCAGAGGGGACAAATAATATGTTGACTGGACTCATCAGATACTGAATTAAAAGTTAAAGGAGAGCTTTCCATCTCTTCTTGCTTCATATACCTGCTAGAGTATTTACTTATGCCTTCTGCTATCTTTGAAGTTTATGGTGTCTGTGTGACAATTAGGATCTGAAAATCAAATTGAGATTTTTGCTGCTATTACCCCCACTCTGTAAACAGTTTTAGATAAATGAGGAAGCCATCCTGAATCTTCATCCTAACTGCAGTGAATATCTGGTCTGTTCTGCCTGGTAACCTTATTTTCACACCTACTTGTGCATTACTATTTTAATTACTGAAATACTAAGAAGTTTCATACTTAGTATAGTATTAAACTAGACTGACTTTAAACCAGTCTTTGAAAGAAGAAGGCACTCGAGAAGAAGTCTGTGCTGTCAGGTTTTCTGCCTGAGAAGGTTTGGTCAGGTAATGGTTGCACCCTGAACAGATTTTTATTACAATAATCAACAGATCTATTTGATAGGTGCAAAATATCTACTGATACTCCAGTTCATGTGCTTCCCAACGAGACTGGGAAGGGTGGAGAGAAGTTTTAGTCACACAAATGAAGCTTGTTGGAAGGAGGTGGGTGACCAGGAATCCTAAGGGGGCAATTCCATCAGTGGTCCCAGTACCCTGTGCAAGACTGGAGGGAGAAATGGAAAAGCAGCATTTTAGCACTTGGCTGAGAATATGGAGTAAGGATCCAGATTCCCGATTCTTCAGGAATTTGGGACACATTCGGTGCAGTGTCCAAACACTCTGAAGGAACAGATTTCATCTTAACTATAAAGGAGTCAAGCTGATGGACATGACATCTAAAAGGTTTTATGTAACATTTAAGATTAATAAGAGCAAGCTGTCAGAGGCTGAAGGTTGTAAGTAACTCTTAAAATGAGGAAAGGGAAGCTTTCCTGTGTGGACTTCAAAACCACTGTGTTCTCAGGAAAAGGAAAGACTAGAGTGTAGAAACAGTCGAGCAGAAAATGCAAAACTGACTGTCATTTAAATGAAGTGTTAAGAAGTAAACAATGTATGTGGCACACCAGCTTCCACACATATACTAGAAGTCTGAAAAATAAGATGGGAAGACCTGGAATGTCCCACCCTAGGCTAAAATAATCAGATGTCAAGCAGATGAAAATGGGTGGCTTCTGCCATCTGAGGTACCCTCAGGTATCAGATAACAGCACAGACCTGGAAGATATTACACAGGACCTCCAAGAATCTGTGGTCTTCCAGATTTGCATTCTGAATCTAGATCGAATGTCCCGATGCTTCCCAGATGGCTCTGGACACCTGTAGTTAGGTAGCTGAACATCATCCCAATCTGCTATGTATATGAGGAAAGGGTTAAAAGGAAGAGAGTCATCACAGCACTAGACTACATAAGGAAGAACAGAGTGCTAATGGGTAAAAGAGAGGAACTACAGGAAGGAGAGGGCATTTATCAAAGAGAAGCTACAATGAATGGCTAAGAGAATGAAGTCCATACAGGCAGACCACATATTATTGAAGGATAACATCGTGGGAACACATGGCCAATAGAAGGCACCTACCAAGAACGATCTGGGAACAGGCAAAAGAAAGCTGACACAGCTATTAGAAGCAGATTGCCAATTTTCCATAGATGTAGACATTAAATGAGGAAAACAGAATGCATCACAAACCCTGGAAGATCGAAGATTATATATAAGAAAAAGCAATTGGACAGAAAGGAATTTGAGGAGGAAAATACCTCAAACATGTGCTTTCAAACATGTGTTTCAAAGACATTGTGTCTTCAAACACATGAAGAGAAGGTATTTTGCTGGAGATCTGTAGGCCAGTGGATGGTAGGCTATCCAGGAAGCATTCTGAAGATAAGGTCATAGTAGAGAAGCTAAATTAATCCCTCATATCAGGGTTGACTGAGTAAGAACTGGGTAGATCTTCCATTTCAGGGCACTTTGTTGTGAGGAGCCACATGAACTGGAAGACATATGGCCCAAATTTAAAAAATGGACATACTAGCAAGAGACATTAGGTGTGAGATAGCTGGATTACTAATGCCATTTTGTAATCCCACTCTTAAAGCTATTTTTGCACCCAGAGACTAGAAGGTAACAGATCTAATGTGAATTAAAAATTTAAAAATAAAGAAATTCTAGAGGACATCTGTGAAGTTCAGGTCTGCTGTCCTGACCACACAGTCACAGAATCGTTTAGGTTGGAAGTGACCTTTTCAGATCACCTAGTCCGACTTCCCTGCTCAGGTGTAGTCAACTAGAGCAGGTTGTCCAGCACCACGCACAGCCAGGTTTTGAATATCTTCTAGGATGAAGACTCTACAACCTCACACGTTAGGAATTATTCAGAAGGAAAACAAACAAAGATCAGGGATGTTTTGTCTGCCATATGGTTTTATAAATCCGCGATTCACCTCTGCCTTCAATGGTGCATGCAGTTCTACTACCCCTGTTTCAAAAAGCATATAGGAAAATGTTCAGAGAATGGAAGCAGTAAATGACAGTGTAGATGGGTTCTGCAGTATGGAAAAGAGATGACTTAAGAAGAATCTATGTCAGAGTTATATAAAGTCCCGAGTGTCATGGAGACTTGGATAGGGTTTGGCTGCTTACTGTCTCTTTCAGTGAACAACAGCTGAATCTAATAGGAGACCAGTTCAGAGTAAGAGAAATACAGCTGGTTCTTCATGTGATGTTAAAAAGAACTGTGGAACCCTTCGTCAAAGGATATTATAGAAATCAGGGCTGTGCATAGACCCAAGGGGAGATTGGGCAAGTTTGCAGAAAGAAATACACTGAGGGTACATAAATAGAAACATATCTGTCTTGGGAAATCCCTGAGTAGATGCATGAATGTGAAAGTATTACAGGAAGGTATCATATATACCTACCCTCTTCTTATTCACCTCTAGTTGTTCACTCATGCCAGCTATTAGAGACAGGAGGCTGGGCTAGGTGGTTTCTTGGTCTGACCCAAAAGGTTGCTGCGTTCTTATACCAGTGAAGCCAACAAGTGTTTAGTTGCATATAACGTGACACATCAACTGCCCCCTGCTCTGGCTATGTGAAGCAGACAACTGTATCTTCCCATCTCCCATATGGCTTTATATCACTGCATTTTTGGAAAATAAGGAATGGCCACCTCTCCCCTCATTGTTTAAATTCATATCAATTTAGCAGACGGCTAAAAACTCACCGGGTGATGTGTAGTGAGCTGCAGCATTTGTGTCTCGTGACTGCACTTTCACTTCCGCGTATGTAGAATCTACAACCAGGCAAAAATAACAAAGAACAGAGAAAATTGAGAAACAACTTAAATGGAACAAAAATGACTGAAAGGATGAGGAAAAAGGAGGAGAAATTCTAAACACATGACAGCAAGTGATTTATGTGACTGTGTAAACTATGCTCAATATTTTTGTCCATTGCATTCACACCTTAGAGGACTTGCTATAGGCAGAAACAGATCTGGTTTATCTTCAGTTCAGGCAATAACAGAGGAGACATGGACACATGCACACACCTTTTAAATATAAAGAGAAGTGGAGAAAAATGTCTAAGGTTGTCTGATCGTACTATTTGATTCACATCCATATGTGAGTGGTGGGAATGGCTACAACATTGAAGCAAACCGGAGAACTGCAGATTATGCTAAATTTGAATGAGTTACTGGTTAATGATAAAACAGGGAGAAAAGTGAAAACTGTTCTAATATCTGGATATAATAAATATAAATCAGTATACAGAAAGCATCTGGGGAAGGAAGGAAGGGCAGGGACACATAAAAAGGGGGTAGAAAGTAGGAAATACAATATTGAAATTTTATAAAACACTGAAAGTCATCCTGATATACAGCACTGAGCCCATTTTTTTTCTATCACTGTACAGAGTTAATGTCTTCTATGCATTTAAGGGCATTCTTCTGGCTTATGGAATTAGTTTTATTCATTTGAGAACACTGCATTTGATCGTGGGAATCCACTATCAAAGATAAAATATCAAACTGGAAGAAAAAGAAAATAAGACAGAAAGCAGTGTTTGAGCTCTTTTCTGTAAGATATGTGTAATCACTGGGAAATACTGTGCATAAATTAAGTAAACACATGGAAAAAAAAGAGTAGATAGGGGTTCTCCAGAAAAGAACAAGGAGAGAAACATAAAAATGCTATTAAAACAGTATAAAAACCGTAAACAGGGGTGCGTGGATTAAAATATAAGGAAAATGTAACTTTTAATCAAGTTTTAAATTAACTTTTAATATTGTGGGTAGCTATGGCTATTCAGCCATGAAGTAATCTGTTGAAAGAGATGGTAGAAACAGTGTTTCCTGGGGCATGAGAAACTCCAGCCATCTGAAAATAGATGCCAAGGGATCACACTTTATGCAAAGGACAAGCACAAGATATCAAGAAATAGGAACTACTATTTTGGTCAAAGAGATAGTAAGGTTGAAAAGGGAAGAAAAAAAAGTAATGAAGCACAAAGTGTATGAAGCCTGCTATTTTAGGATGTAATTTTATGCAGATGTAGCAAAACCAGTGCAAAGGTTTATTAAATAATTCCTAGTGCATTAAAGAAATATAAATTTTAGGTTAGAATTTTGGAAAGTCATTTATACTAAAACAAACTAAATCTGTCCATGAAACATTTTATGCTTAATTTACTAAACCAGTAGTCTGTACAGACGAAGACAGGAGGAAAAAACCCTGAATCAATACCTGCTATGCTCAGCAGACAGAAACAGGCTACACATGAGACTGCTTCAAACAACAGAAACATGAGGCACTCAATCTCCTGATCAGTTTGCTGCAGGAATCAGTCTGCTACATGAGAACATGCCTGGTTCAGGGCTAATTGTTATTCAGCTGTGGAATAGTCTCCTAAATTGATAGCAACTACTCAATGTCACACAAGAAACTCCCGCTCACACTTGCACCTTAACAAATGAAAAGTAGACCTCATAGCAATCCCCTTTTTTGGGGGTAAAAAAACTACATTGACAATCCAGCTGCACATTTTTCACATCACTGGCCCTCACATTTCCTTCACCCTCTTTGGGGTTTTGGTGCTCCACAGCACTCTTTCAAAATATGTGGGAGGGAGGCTGAAAAATACAAAGAAAGCTCAGTGCAGACCGATTGACCTACCTTGGCCATCAGCGACCTTCTGTAGTCTGGGCTTGGTTGGTTCAGTCAGGTTCAAGTCAGCATAAACGAGATTTTCTGCCATTCTTGCCCCCCTTTCTTCTTTTTTCCTCTTGCTGTTCTTTTTAAAATGGTACTCTGGACTGAGGATGACTCATAGCTCCCTCCCCTCTCTAACCTTCAGGAGGAAGTTGTTTCCTCTTTTTGTCACAGAGAAACTTCTAACGAGAAAGCAAGCCTACTTCTAATTGATCTTTTGATAGTAGCGTGCTAAAGGTAAGGTTGTGGCTTTGATGGCCTTTGTTGGGAAGTGGTTCTGACATTAGTAGTATTTTGAGTTTCCAAATCTTGACACCTTGCCCACCCCACACTTCGTATTTTGAAAATCCAAGCTTCATTACATGAAATGGAAAGGAGAAGAAAAATACAGAGATTTGGAAGTCAGTCCTGGGAAGCAGAGTAAAGCTCTCAGGAGGGACCCATGGCACATCATGGGGAACAGCCCTACAGAGTCCAGAAGACAATGCTGTGAATCGTTGTTAGAGGAAATATCCCAGCTCATAGCAGCGTTTATCAATTGAAAATGCCAGATTTAGTTTTTGCGCTGGGGGCAGGTGTAATCTGCCAGGAGAAGCCTGATCACCCAGCCTGATCTGATGGTTGACAGCAGGCTCAGTGGGGGTCAGGAGTGTGCCCTGGGAGCCAAGAGGGCAAACCCCATCCCGGGGTGCATCAAACACAGCATGGCCAGCCCAGCAAAAGAGGTGACAATCCCACTGTATTCAACACTGGTGCAGCCTCACCTTGAGTGCTGGGTGCAGTTCTGGGCCTGTCATGGTTTAACCCCAGCTGGCAACTAAGTCCCACACAGCTACTCACTCACTCCCCTACTCCAGTGGGATGGGGGAGAGAATTAGAAGAGTAAAAGTGAGAAAACTCAAAGAGATAAAGACAGTTTAAAAGGTAAAGCAACAGCTAAAGCAAAAGCAAAGCAAGGAATTCATGCACCACTTCCCATGGACAGGCAGGTGCTCAGCCATCTCCAGGAAAGCAGGGCTCCATCACACGTAATGGTTACTTGGAAAGACAAAATACCATAACCCTGAACGTCCCTCACTTCCTCCTTCTTCCCCCAGCTTTATATGCTGAGCAGGACATCATATGGTCGGGGATATCCCTGTGGTCATTCGGGGTCAGCTGTCCCAGCTCTGTCCTCTCCCAACTTCTTGTGCACCCCCAGCCTGCTGGCTGGTGGAGTGGTGAGAGAAGCAGAAAAGGCCTTGACTCTGTGTTAAGGATTGCTCAGCAGTAACTAAAATATCCCTGAGTTATCAGCACTGTTTCCAGCACAAATCCAAAACATAGCCCCATACTTTCTACCATGAAGAAAATTAACTCTATCCCAGTCAAAACCAGCCCAGGGCCCCACCATTTAGGAAGAATGTGAAGGTCCTTGCATGTGTCTAGAGGAGGGCAACAAAGCTGGTGTAAGGGCTGGCAGGCATCTCCTGTGAGTAGTGGCCAAGGACTCCGGGTTTGTCTAGTTTAGAAAAGGCTGGGGGGCGACCGCATTGCTCTCTGCAGCTCCCTGAGGAGGGGATGTGGAGAGGGGGGTGCTGAGATCTTCTCCCTGGGACCCAGTGCCAGGACACGTGGGGATGGCTCAAAGCTGCACCAGGGGAGGATTAGCCTGGACATGAGGCAGCATGTCTTTACTGAGAGGGTGGTCAGACACTGGAACAGGCTTTCTGGAGAGGTGGTCCATGCCCCGAGCCTGTCAGTGTTTAACAACATGCTTTAACTTGGTCAGCCCAGAAGTGGTCAGGCAGTTGGAACAGATGATCGCTGTAGGTCCCTTCCAACTGGAACTATTCTATTCTATTCTATTCTATTCTATTCTATTCTATTCTATTCTATTCTATTCTATTCTATTCTATTCTATTCTATTCTATTCTATTCTATTCTATTCTATTCTATTCTATTCTATTCTATTCTATTTATTCTATTAAGCCTCTTGCCCTAATTAAATACAAGGGAGGCTGAATGTCTCACTCAGTACTACCAGCCTCGCCATGACTTGGCTACACTGTGAAAGAGAAGTAATGTGATATATTCCCATAGGAATTTGAAGGGGAAAATGTTTAGTGAGAATTAAGAATATGCTCCTAAGCACAGCACAGTGATCTCAGTAATGTATGTTTTATTTGGGACACAATGCTGAGTCTCTGGATGATTCTCTTGGAATCGCATGGATTCTCTTCATGAGCTTCAAGGCAAATATATTTTTTTTTCTGTCCATGTTTCAGTTTTAACCAAGATAATTGCTAGCTAATAAATGTTCATCAGCCCAGCGAGGAAGGAATCCACTCTGCATGGCTGATTACCCTCCTAATCAGTTTTGTGATGCTTGCTTTTAAAATCTGCAGTTGTTTTTACCTAGTGTACTAATTATTGTCAAAATAAGCAGAGACCCTGCCTTGGGGAATGTGGGGAGAGAATTCGTTGAAAAGTCCCAGTATGAAATCTGAAATTTGGCAGAGTCAGTATGGTGACAAAGAATGTAACTATCATCAGATTTGCTCTTCTAATTCTCATGTATATACTGGGGAAAAATATAAGAGAAGAGAACAGAAAATGGTTCAGCTTTTATACAACTGGAATTCATAGGTTTGCTATATGACAGCATATAAAGTCTGTTTTTCAGTAAGCTCCAAGTCATCGCCTCATTATTACCTGGCCATCAGCAGGTAAATTCCCTGCTATGTAGTCACTGATGGATATTGCAGGACTAGTTTTAGAATCAATCACATTATTTAATAACTAAGGAGCCTAGTTTTCTATACTCACCTAAATACAGGGAGTATGTAGATAGCTTGAGACTAGATAATGATTACAGTGACCAAATACATACAGTAGCCCATCTATGAAAGCTCTGGATTTAATAATTAAGCAGTAGCTATTGAAGAGATTACTATATTCCTGTCTTTACTGAATTATAGTACATTGCTTTTCTGATTTAGAACAAGCTATACTCAAAAGTATTTTTTATGAAAATAAAATAAACGCCAATGCCCTTTGAACCCATTTCTTGCAAAGGGAGATGATTTTCTATTCTGTAAGTATCCTCTCATGTTCAGGGCTGTCAGATCTGGAATACCCCACTACCAGGTGGTAATTACAGAGACTGCTTCAGCAGGCCAGTGATCTGTTCTGGTCTTCTGCCCCTTACTTCCCATAGTCAGAGGCCAAAATAAGGCAAGCAAACACCAGATGTGTGAGAGAAATAAGAGGAAGTGAAGCAATTTCTGTGGTAGCTGATGACTCAGAAGTGCACACTGAGGTCAAATGAAGGTTTGCAGTGGCCCTCAGACCCGACAGTGAGAGTTGTCCAGAAATATTGTGGCAGGCAGCCTGCTCTGGAATACTAATGTCTCTGATTAGACCACTCTCACTTCTTTGGAGTTCCTAGGGGTGGAAGGAAAGAAGGAAAAACAAAATTACATGATCTGTTTTTAAGTTGTGAGCCACAATACTCTGGCATGACACTGCAAGTCTTGGATGTGTTTTAGTCAGTTTTCTTGGTGTCTGGAAGTGTTGCTAGCCATCTCAGATAAAGTAATGACATAGGTCTCCCCTCTGACAGCAGAGAAGCTCTCGGAAATGAGAAGATGGAATTTTGATCCTTTCTGAATTTAAGAGATTTTTTCCCAAACTTACCTCTAAGATGAGTAGGTACCAGAATAAGGCACTGAAATGCAGTCAGATAAGTAGGAGACAGGAAACCCTGTTCCATGTATGTGGGTTTTCTGGATCTCCAGCACTATTTTATTGCTTATTCTGTCCAAAATACTCTGCCATGACATCACTCCCCAGGCACTGTTATATTATCAAGATGCAAAAGTGTTTTTTCTCTTTGGAGAGGAATTTCTAGCTTTTTTAGTTCAAAGTTAAGTGATAGCTAAATATGTCTTGGACAGTTATTTGCAACTGCAGCCTAAGAGTCAGGACTTCATAATTCAGGTAATCCTTTTCAGTTCCTATAGCCATGGATAAGATATGAACAGCTGGTATTACCCAAGGTGTTGTGTGTTGGCTCTGTCTTTCAGCTGTGTTTTGCTGTTGGAACGTGAGAGCCAAGTCCATTTCCCAACCCACAAAGTGAGCAGAAGGGGGGCTTACATTAATGTTTTTAATCATGACTACTTGATTTGCCTCCTTGGCTGCTTTCTCTGCAATTTTGACAGTATCGTTGTCCCAGTCAACGAAGTCCATGGCCATCATTCCTTCCACTGCACTGGAGAAAGAGTAAGGGGCAATGGGGAGGTGAAGATAAACAATGAGAAGAAAAAGGAAGGAAGGGATAAAAAAAAAAAAAAAAAAAGGAAGGAGGAAAAAAAGATAAAGGAGAAGAGATTGTTAAACTATCACAGTTCATAGATTCATGCCACAAGAGGGTTCAATCTGACAGATCCAAGTACATGGCTCTTTCTTCCCTATCAGTAACATTTAATTTTCTTTATCTTTTCCATTTGTTATTCTTCATAGTTATAATTAGCTCTGCTACTTCCAGAAACATGTTGACTCAGGACTCACTCTGAGGCCTCCTGCTTGAGTACGTGCGCAATGTACAAAATGTCAGGGTAGCCCATACAACTGGAGATGTTGTTACGAGGGTAATAGAAGAGGAAAGTGAGACACATCTCATTCATGGTGCTTGGCCCACCCTGCAAAGACACAAGGATGACTCAGAGGTCTGCTGAGATACAACAAGGAGAATATTTCTCCTCAAGAAAACACTCTTTCTCACACCTCATGCAAATCCTCTTTGGTGAAAAAAAAAGAAAAAAAAAATTGTTTGAGAGTTAGAAACAGAGAATAAAAGTATCCTCACAAGAGTCTCATAAATAGGTTGCTCTGTGGTTTTATAACCTAAATCTACTTATTCTCTCCTTCAGGAAAACTACCATCTTTTTATTTCAATTTACAAGATAACAAAATCTGGAACCTCGGGAAGTTCAACTATAATATTCAGGGAATTAACTGAGTGTGACATCCAGATCAGAATTTTAAAGTTGATCCCTGCTTTTGGAATGGGCCCAAGCAAATCAAACAGTGTTGCTCTCTGTGAATTTAAACTCTGTAATCCTCTTTAGG